CACAGACCGGGATTGCAGCCGCCGGCGCCGCAGCAGCCGCCAAGGCAGCGAGCGCCTTGTCCATCGGCGTCACGGCAATCACGCTGAGCTCGACGCCACCGAGGGTGCACGACGGGGTAACGCTGCCGGCAACCTTCTGGAGCGGGCCGGTGTAGAGCGTCTGGCAGTTGTCGCTCTTGACGAGCGCCGCCGCCTGCGTTGAGGTCGGGAGCGGGCCCGTGAGGAGGCTAGCGAGCTGGTAACCCGTGTCGGCCGAGCACAGCGGGTAGCTCGACGACGTGAGCACGGGCGCAAACTTCTCCGTCAAGACGGCGATATCGCACGGGCCGGCAGCGGCCGACGCGACGGCAACGGCGAGGATGGTCGAGAACTTCATGGTCTAGTCTTGGTGGAGGCGATGGAAATCGGAAAATGAACTGCAGCAGGAGACGTGGAGATCTTGCGTGGATCACCGACATACACTCTGAGCGCCCATCTACATCTGGTACAACACATGTTGGCACCGCCAGAGGTGCCTGGACCGAAGGTCGCCGAAGCACAAGCAGCCTCGGTGGTCGACTGGTGAAGTCGACTTTTCACGCATGTGTCCGTCGGTGAGATCCTATATCCTGTCCACGACAAGCGTGTGTCGAACGTGTGTGTCGACGATCGGTGTCCCCATTCATTGCCCCCATTCATTGTGGCTGCACTCCCTGTCGACAGCTCGTCGATGAAAGCGGTTCTGCACTCTGGACGAGTCTGTATGAGACTCGTTTAGAAGGCATTCCAGTACGAGCCTCAGACAGTGCAAATACCGGCAGGCGCGTCGTGTCGTACATCAAGTTTATACGCGTAGCAGGGGCGCTGCGGGCGATCTTCGGTCGACGACACCGACGCTCGCTAGTCGCTCGATCGCTGGACTGTGGCTATAGCTCAGTGGAACGTGCTAGTACACGTAATGTGTGCCAGACTGATGACGGGACGAGCATGAATCATGATCGATACCATGAAAAATGGCCATAAACTATTTTTTGCGGCTACAAAAGTCAAGAAGGCAGATATCTAGTCGACATCTTTTAGTCTAGCGGTATAGACACTGGTTTACCACCAGGTAGATCCGGGTTCAAGTCCCGGTGAGATCCCTACTTTCTGACTGGTTATGAGCCCAATATACGCACTTTCCCATGCGCGTGTACCACACTCTTCCTCACTCTCATACTCACTTGGTTACACTCTCCTCTGTTACGGTGCAGAACAGACGGCAGTCGACACCAATAATGGCGATCGTACGCTTGAAAATACCGGTAGTAGAAAACGATTGTCGTGGTTGTGCCGATGTGCGAGGTTCTGGACTGCGGGACGACGGTGCATATCCCAACGACCAAGCATTTTGCTTCTAGAAAATGGAGGAATAGGTGTCGGTGGCTACTTGCGTAAATTCGAAACGTCTTTGAGTTCAGAGTCGGGCGTTCTGAAAGCAATTACGGACTTGATCATTCGCGCTTGTCGTAGCCGGCGCCAGTGGCCACCATGTATCGGCGCCGAAGTTCAGTTGCACTGGAATGCCATCAAATATGACCCTAGTTCACCGCTTAAGAACCCATACCGGTATAACATGAACGATCTCACCGATATCATCGGACATAACACAGCTCTTTTCTTGATCGACTTGTTGTTTTCTACGTGGCCACAAGTGTTCCAGCATGAAACGTCAGTCGCCACCTTCGTGTCAGTGTAGGAATTGGCGCGTCTATTTTGGCACGGAGCGTTTTTGGCGCGTCCTGTGCATGAACGCACAGGCCACCGCGCCGCGCAAGCCCAGCTTCCACACGATCGAGAGCGACGTGCCGCTGACATGGACGCGCATCGTGCTCTCCCTCGTCTCGTACGCGCTCTTCTTCACCGACATTCCCCGCAGTGGGTTTGGCGTGCGCCAGCTGCCTCCCCGGACCTTCGCGCCCGTGACCGAGTCGCTTTTGGCATACTTTGGTCCGTACAACTACTCGGTGATTGCGCTCTCAAAAGAGAGCAACGGTGCGTCGCGTCCGACGTCACACACTCAAGACACGTAGGATCCCTGACCGGGCCGTCCGTGGCGCCCGTGTGGAGCTATAAATTTGACACGACGTCGATGGGTCTCCGCGGCATTGTCGAGCACTTTCGCGTGCCTTTCTGGTGCACGAATCGCACCGCGGCGGACGAGTCATCGTGACACGCGTAGGGACCCGTGCCTTCTTTACAAGTGCCCGTGCGGCAGCGATGTCGTCGCTCCATCGACCGTCTATCGTATGCTCGACAGTCTTGTCGACGTCGTCATCTCTCTGCGTCACCGGGTTACACTCCGCGTCGAGTGCCGCAGCGTGGACAAGATCTACGATGCCATCGCGCCCACGCGGGCGCTCGTCGAGCGAGACCTGCGCTCTGTTGAAGTCTACGCCATGACGTCGCCTATTGACGTGTGTGCAGAGAACTTCTCCGACGCCCCCTTTGTCTGCCAAGAGCCCTGGGCCGACTTCTACGCGTTAGGTAAAGCACCATCAAGTCATTCGTCCACCCATCGGCTCGCGTACGACCCATGGCGGCACTTGGCTCTGTCACTCAGCACATACAAGCTCGGTTCGCCGCGCAGTTGGCCCGTATCGATCCAACGACGCAGGTTGTCGACATGGCCGTTGTGCACTCTGCTGCGGATGCGCGGCACTGGGGCGGCGGCGTCGCCCGGCTCTTGTCATTTGGTGTCGACGTCACGACGATCCTTCGTGTGCAAAATTGCACGAATGTCCTCCAGAAAACGACCTGCAGCACCGTCGAGATCGAAGACTACCGATACGAGACGGCGTTCATTCGCACCAACGTTGAGGGGCATTACGCGATCACGCGGGTTTTGCGGCTCGTCGGGCAGCTCTACAACATTGGCCGCGTCCTCCTGCTCCTCGTAGGGTGCTACGTCGCCCGCACCGCCGATCCTGGCTTCCACGGGCAGCATTATCTACGGCAGCTTTGGGCGGTGCTGCGCACGTTCTTGCGCATTCCGAGCCAAGTCATCATCTACGGCAGCTGGCTCCCCGTGAGTATGTTTGCGATGGCCCACCTCATCGACTGTCCGGTGGTCTACATCTTTGTATTTCGCGCGTTTAGCTCGCTCAACGGCACGTTTAGCGTGACGCATGACGCGATACTGGACCTTCTCACCGTTCTCACGTGTCAGATGCGAAACGTGTGGCTCCTCAGTCTCTGGACGAAAACGCAGGTGCTGCCGCGACGACACGTCGTTGAAGGCTACCGCGGCTACGTGGTGCCGCTCGTGGCGTTCATTTCGCTTGGCTTTGGCATTCGACTGCTCTCGCTGCGCAACGTTGATGTTGTCGCTCACACGCAAGTCGCGCCCAGTGCAATCGTCAGCGCGATCCGGCAACTGGAGTCGGTCCCGCCCAACTACCGGTATTGGGGCGTCTACCTCGATCTACGGTGCTTGAGCATGGCCCTGATCCTCCTGCATGTGCTTGCGTACGTCGTTTCTGGCCACGGGCTCAAGCGTGCAACGCAGATTCCACACATGGCCGCCGCCGCGTGCAACCCGACCATGTTTAGTACGTCCTGGAGCAGTCTCTGGGCAAACGCGCCACCGTCGGTCATTTCGCCGACCGACGTGGGCATTAGGTGCATGGACCGAAGACGGTCTGAGAACGTGCTCATAAACATTGCGTGGATGACGGATCCCATCGAGTACATCTACCAGAGCTTCGCGCCCGCAACCGTGTTTATCTACGCGTATACCCCGGCACTGCCGACGGCGTCGATGGTCTACCGGTGCTTGCATGGGACGGCGACGGATGCGATCGTCTTGCATCCGTGGAGCGTTCCCAAATTGAAAGCCGACTGTCCAAACGTCGAGCGCCTCCTCCGCATCGAGCGCCAAGCAACACTTCTATCGCTCTCGTGGCGGGACCGTATTTATTGCTGCTAAGCGATTTTTCAACAGTGCTTTGTCCCGTGGGTTTAGTGTGTGCAATGACGCGCTTGGCCGAGGCCAGCAGCAATGCATCGCGTCGTCTTGGTGGTCTGTATGGACCAGAAAGTTTCTGGCTCTTTTTGCATTGTGTGAACTGGTTTCTCGTCTAAAAAAGACATGTGTTTTTGCTGTACACATGTTTCGCGTTCAGCAGACGCAGATGGAACGTGGTGTGGCTGCAAGAGCGCACTCTTGTGCTATGTCGTAGTAGACATATGCACGGGCTAGCTGCTAAAATGACTCATTTAGCATCGCGACCACGACACAGTTGGCATCACTGGGGGCTAATGCAGTCCATAGCACCATCTCTTGTGCACGTTATCGGCCTGTCGTTGTCCCGCGTCAACAAGCTATTTCAAGACACGTGACCATTGCTCATGGCACCGAACCAGGCGATTGCGGCTGCACCGCTGACCTGGCGCCGCATCTGCTTCGCTCTCTTCTCGTACGCGCTCTTCTTTACAGACATTCCTCGGAGCGGACTCGGCTACGAGACGCTGCCATACCCCCTCTACTCGCAAGTGACCGAGACCATCTACTCCAACTGGGGGCCGTACGACTATAAGATCATTGATATTGCGCGCGATATCACTGGTAGACGTCATTTACGGTACCATATCAAAGCAATCTCGTAGGCTCGCTCGTTGCGTCGGACGGGTCCGCCACTGTTTCAGGCGCTACAATCTGGAGCTACAAGCACGATACGTGTTCGATTGGCTTGCGCGCACTTGTACAACACTTTCAGATTCCTGGCTGGTAGAGGACGTCTATACGCGGCAGGGATATCTACAGGCGCTTTCGTAGGGATCCGTGTTTGCTGTACGCAAGAGCATGTGCCAGCGACGCTGTCGTCAATGCCGCGTCGCTCTTCATCATGCTAGACAATGTCATCGCGACGATTGCCGCGCTCGACGACGACGGCGCGTCACTCCGACTGCAGTACATGTACAACGACGTGATCCGCGACACGATGTCGGTCACCAACGCCTTTATGAACCGCGAACTGCGCACCGTGCGGGCATATCATCTCGCATCGCCCAGCGACCTCTGCGACCCGCATCGCCGGCGAAAGCCGTCCTTTTGCGACAAGGCGTGGGCGAATTTCTCGAGCCTCGGTGCGTCTTTGCTGCAATCTCCATACGAAAAGATGACTGCATAGCGCCTCGCACCAGTATTCAAAGCGTCGCCAAAGCCATCGAAGCTCGGTTTGCAGCCAAAGTGGCGACCCTCGACAATGCGCAGCAAATCGCCGACATGGTGGTGCTCGAATGCGCAGCGGACTTTCGCCCGTGGGTCGGCGGCGTCGCGCACACACAGCCCCAGGACTTTGATCTCGTCACCTTTCTACGTGTGCGCAACTGCTCGACGACCTGCGAAACCGTGTATATCGACGACTTTCGGTACGAGGGATCGCTCTTCCGCACCGACGTCGTCTATTGGTACCGTCTCGTTCGTCTCCTCCGGCTGCTTGGTCAGATGTACAATATTGTCCGCACATTGATGCTCTTTGTCGGGTGCTACGTTGCCTCGGGTCACAAGCTCGTCGCCGCGACGCGTCTCTTTCTGTCGATACCTGCCCAAGTCATCATTTACGGCAGCTGGTTGCCCGTCGCTGTCTTCGCATTCGCACACGCCATTGATAGCGCCATGGTCTATTGCGTTGTGTTCCGCGCCTTTTCGACGCTCAACGGCGGCTCCAACTTGAGCGGCACGTACGTATACTTTCTCATGCGGACGCTGACGTGTCACATGCGCAACCTCTGGGTCTTCTCGGTGCTCACAAAGACGCTACTGTACAGCTCGACGCCGGTTCGAACCCAGCACCTCCTCGGGTTTCGCGGCTACGTGCTCGCGCTGATATCGTTTTTGGCCATTTTCTTCGACGTGCGGCTGCTCTTGGTTCGAAATACCAACGTCGTCACGCACACGCGGATCGCACCGAGCCAGACCGTGCAGCTGATTCGGTATCAGCAAACCCTGCCGACCAATAGCCGCCTCTGGGGTCTCTACCTTGATGCCACGGGTCTCGTGTTCTCTTTTCTAATACTACGTGCGATATTGCGCCTCTTCGGAGTCTCGCGGCTCCGCGAGCACACGTTCGTACCATACGCGGCGACGGCATATGCCAACACGACGCTCTTCAGCGCCGCGTGGAGCTCGCTTTTTGTCAACCTCGACGATCCCGTGTCGGTCAATGCCGTCATCGCGCCGCACTGGGTCCTCTTCCCAAAGCTATATCAGCACGTGCTCATCAACCTCGTTTGGATGACCGACCCGATCGAATTCGGTAGTCAGTACTGCCGCACCGCCCCCGTCGAGAATCAACGTGTGTACGTCTACCTCGAAAGGGCTTCGGGCGATGTCTTCTACCACCCATGGAGCTTGAACGAGCTCGAAGACGTCGTCGAGGACGTGTCTACCTATGTGCACATGCTGCGCTTGGGTCGCCTCTGGAAGCTGCCATGGATCGACCGCATACACTGCAGTTAATAAGGACCCTAACCCCACAAAATCATCCCCACTATCTATCTATCCATCTATCTACGAGTTCGGTGGCATTGCATACGCATTGCTACGCCTGACTGCGTGGCAGATGGCGCCAGTACTTGAGAGTGAGCTGCGTACGGAGAGATCCATATCGTGTGGTGGACCCCACTCGCCAAGTGATAGCTGGCACAAAGTCGTACGCAGGCGCCCTGGCTGGCCCGTCTCCTCAGACAGAGAAGTGCAAGTCAACATCGCTCTCCTTCTAGAGCACCAGTGTACAGTACATGTACTATCTATCACTTAGCACCATTTTGGCTTGTATACCGAAACGCCCGTCGTCCAAGCCGGAATAAAAGGGTAACCGCGAGGCTACTTTGGACCAGTAGACAAAGGACGGATGCCGAGCGCGGGCCCGGCGCTGGGCCTGCGGGGGCGGCGGTCGTTCACGACGGTCGATGCGCGCACGGTGCTGTCGCCGACCCGCATCTTGTTTACGCTGGCGTCGTACGTCCTCTTCTTCACCGACATTCCGCGGAGCGGATATGGCTTTGCGACGCTGCCAAGTGCCATCTACCACCAGCTAACCGAGACGACGTACTGCTACTGGGGGCCGTTCGACTACCCAATCGTACACATTGAGCGCCACACCAACGGTACAAAGACTTGTCGAAGTATCGTCGGACGTGCATATATACTTCTACTAGGCTCGTTTGTCGGTCGTGCTGGCGACGTGTCTCTTGATGCCGTGCCCGTCTGGGCCTACAAGTTTGACACGTGCTCGGTTGGTCTCCGCTCCCTCGTGCAGCGCTTTCGGCTTCCCAACTGGTATCTCACTTCTGATATCTCGCACGAGAGAGAGGTATGTTCATCATGCGGTGGCATAGGGATCCATGCCTCATGTACGCATCCACGTGCGAGAGCGCGACGCTGCCGCTCAGCAGGACGTTTGCCTTGCTTGATAGCGTTGTCGAAACCCTCGCGTCGCTTCCGCAAGGCACGACCGCGCGCTCCGCGAGCTACTACAAGGACAAGATCCACGAAGTCGTCGCGCCAACCCATGTGTTTATGGAGCGGGCCCTTCGCACGATTCACGTTCTCTCGATTCGCTCGAACGACGCATCGAACGTGTGCGCGTGGGATCGTCCGGTACGGGCACGCTTTTGCGACGCGCTCTGGGCCAACTTTAGCTCCATGGGTACATCGTTATGCATCCATTAGACCTGCCTCGTCACACGCAATGAATCTAGGGCCCACGACGACGGTGACGGAGCTGTCACGTCACATCCAAGCGCGTTTTGACACGGTCGCGTCGACGCTCGATCCACGCTCCCAGGTGGCCGACATGGTTCTTATCGAGTCGACGGCCGACGGGCGGCAATGGAGCGGCAGCGTCGCGCCGGCCAAACCGACCGATTTGGACATTACAGCAATCCTCCGCGTGCGCAACTGCTCGTCAACCAATGTTTGCACGACGATCTCGGTCGACGACTTTCGGTACGAAGCCGCACTCGAGACCACCAACGTGCTGCACTACTATCGCCTCTTGCGCGCAATGCGGCTCGTCGGGCAGCTCTACAACATCCTTCGCGTGACCTTGCTCCTCTTTGGGTGTTTTTACGCCCACCGCAACGAGAGTCAGCCGCTCCATCAACGCGTTGCGGTGGCGACCGGGACATTTTTGCGGATCCCTGCCCAAGTCATCATTTACGGCAGCTGGTGCCCCGTCATCTTGTTTGCACTGGCCCATGCGGTTGATTGCGCGTGTGTGTACCACATCATTTTCCGCGCGTTCTCGACGCTCAACGGCGCCTTGAGCCTCACATGGGACGAATTGTACTTTTTGATGACGATTCTCACATGTCAAATGCGCAACGTGTGGGTCCTGAGCCTCTTCACAAAGGGTCTTCTGGTCGCGAACGGCCAGCACCGCGTCGGCCAGCACATTCTCGGATTCCGCGGCTACGTCCTCCCGCTTGTCTCGCTTCTCGCGGTGGGCTTTGACATTCGCGTTCTCTCGACGCGCGATACAGACATCATTGGCGCTTCGCAGGTCGCGACGAGCCAGACTGTAGCCACCATCCGGCTACTCCACTCGCTGCCGACCAACTACCGGTACTGGGGCCTCTTCTTAGATGCCCGCAACTTGCTCATGGCGTTCCTGATCGCGCATCTCGTGCTACGGGTCTTTCGAGTCAAACACGTCCGGTCGCGCTCACTGGTGCCGTACGCGGTCACGTCGTATTGCAACCACAGTATGTTTAGCACGGCGTGGAATACGCTCGTTGTGGACCGCGAGCCGTGGTTGCGCCAGCGATCCTCGATCGTTGGCCACAAGGACGTTCTCGTTCACACGCCGTTGGCGACCGTGCTCTTTCCGAGCAGCGACAAGTACACGGCGTCGACGCACGTGCTCATGAACATTGTGTGGATGACCGACCCGATCGAAGTGCTCGTTCGGCACATTGCGGACGACTCGCACCTCTTTGTGTACGTGGAGAAGGCGACGTCCGAGCTGGTGTACCATCCGTGGAGCTTTGAAGAGCTCTGCGCGTTTGATGAGCGCTTGCGGGACCTCCTCACGATAAAAAGCCACAAACGCCTGCTGGACCTGCCGTGGCAGGACCGCATTTACTGTAGCTAGCGCACGTATGTATGAACCCAACCTAACAACCTTTGTTACGAGCGACTCTGCGGTTGCAACGACCGCATCACTGCGCGATCGCCGGGTGCATTCCTGCCAACAAGGCACATTCAACGTTCGACAGCGCAGTTAAAACCTTGGAGGGCACACTACCGTGTTTGTTCACGACGCTTATTGTCCGTGTCCGTAGATTGCCGGAAATCGAACCGATGCTAGGGTAACATGGGAGAGCGCAGTTGCTGGCATCTCGCGGGGGGACGGGCTCTCTTTTCGGTCTTTGCAGAGTGTGGCACCAAACTTGATGCATTGCACCAAGCTCTCAAAACGGCGAGCCTTCAACCCGCAAGGGTCTCGCTGCCCATGCACCGTGGCAGAGAACGACAGGATGGTCGAAGTCGTAGATGCCATCCAGGGGTACAGTACCCCTGATCCCGTTTCAGTTGGGTTGTCGAGGAACGCCTCTGCGATACTCGTGGCGCTTTTTTTAGGTGATCCAGTGACCAACTTGTCGGCTATTTCGAGCTCTACGCCGTATGCAAGAGCAGGTGTTCGACCCGTCGCTCTCGGTGCCGCACGGACCGTCGCTCGAGACGCTCGCGGCGTCCATTCCGCTGACGTGGCGTCGCGCCTTGCTCGCGCTGCTGTCGTACGGCTTGTTCTTTACCGACATTCCGCGCAGTGGGTACGGCTTTGCCACGTTGCCCGCCGACACGTTCAACCAAATCCAAGAGACCATCTTTTCGTACTGGGGACCGTACAATTACCCCGTCATGCGCATCAACCGCACAAGCAGCGGTGCGATCGCATCGACGCCTTTCCATTGATGGTCGGCGTAGGCTCGTTTACGGGTGCGACCGGCGTCAAGCCAGCGGCCGCCGCGACCGTATGGAGCTACCGGTCCGATACGTGCTCCGTCGGACTGCGTGCGCTCGTCCAGCACTATGGCATTCCTGGATGGTAATCCCTTCTGCGTCGTCGTTTTCCCAACGATAACCATATTTTCTGGGCGTTTAGGGATCCGTGCCTGCTCTACGCGCACGCCTGCGCTAGCGCGTCGCTGGACCTCGCTGCGGTGTTTGCAATGCTCGACAACACGGTTGCGTCGCTCGTCGCTCGCGAGTCGCAGCCGACTGCACTGCGCGTCGAGTCGTTCTACAAAGACAAAGTGCACGAAGCGTTGGCGCCCACCGATGCCTTCATGGAGCACGAGTTTCGCAGTGTGCAGGCGTACGTCATGCGCTCGGCCTTCGACGCGTGCGACGCCTCGCACGCTTACCGACCCAACTACTGCGAGCAGAGCCAAGCCGACTATAGCACGCTGAGCGGTACGCTGCAAGGCTCTCGCGTCGACTAAAGACATGAGCATAGCGCCGCGCGCTGGCATTGGCCGCGTCTCGCAACACATTCAAAAGCGGTTTGCATCCACCCTTGCTGCCTTGAATGCGACGATGCAAGTGGCCGAGATGATTGTGATTGAGAGTGCCGCTGACTTTCGTCCGTGGATCGGCGGCGTTGCGATCCTACGTCCACGCAACTTTGACCTGGTGACTCTTCTCCGCGTTCGCAACTGCTCGTCGCCGACGGCGTGCACGACCGTCTCGGTCGACGACTACCGGTACGAGGGTGGTCTTTTGAACACCAACACGGTCCATACCTACCGGACGGTGCGATGTCTCCGCTTCGTGGGGCAAATGTACAACATCATTCGCGTCGGCGTCTTGTTTTATGGCTGCTACCTTGCGGCGTCGCGCCGATGGCGACCGGCGCTCGGCTGCTTTCTTCGGATCCCGCTCAAGTCATCATTTACGGCAGCTGGTTCCCCGTCGTCTTGTTTGTGATTGCGCATGTGATTGACGCGCCGTTCGTGTACCTTCTCGTGTACCGTGCGTTTAGCAGCGTCAACGGCAACATCGTCGTTACGAGCGATTACATTGTCTTTGTGCTCACGATGCTCTCGTGCCACATGCGCAACGTGTGGGTGCTCAGCCTCTTGACCAAAGGGCTCTTGCTGGCGACGCACGGCCGCCGCCGGGGCCAAACGATCCTTGGTTTTCGTGGCTACGTCCTCCCGCTCGTCTCGTTTTGCTCGATTGGCTTTGAGGTTCGACTGCTCTCGATCCGCAATACAGACGTGGTGCGCCGCGCGGCCGTGGCGCCAAGCGCAACCGTGTCTGCGATCCGCTATTTGCACACGCTGCCCAGCAATGTGCGCTACTGGGGGCTCTTTCTGGACCTGCGCTGTCTCTTGATGGCGTTCATTTGCCTCCACATTGCACTTCGCTTCCTTCGCGTCAACATTGTGCGTGCGCGGTCGCTCGTGCCGTACGCTGTGACCTCGTACTGCAGCAGCAGCATGTTTAGCACCTCCTGGAACACGCTCTTTCTCGACAAGGACACGTCGACGGTCTCGATGCACAAGATGGCGACGCAGTCGGCGGTCGCGAATTTGCTGTACCCGTGTGGCGGCCGGCGACAGGCCGAACACGTGCTCATGAACGTTGCGTGGATGACCGACCCGATCGAGTACATGGCGCACGCGCTCTGGTGCACGTCGACCGTGTACGTCTACAAGGATAGCCGCACGGGCCGTCTCTACTATCACCCGCTGAGCATTGAAGAGCTTCGGACGCACGACGACGACGAGATGGACAAGATCCTGACCGTCGTCCGACAAGACACGTTGGTATCGCTGCGCTGGAGCGACCGCATTTACACATGCTAGCAATCGGCTATCGAGATTCTGTAAGGATACCTTATTATCGCGCTTCTAAATGCAGTGCATTGACGCGGTGATGCCATCGACGCCCTTTGGGTGTGCTGGTTCGCAGTGCATGTCCATACAAGCTCTACCTCTTGCTTTTTGCTAGCGCTGTGCATGGATCGCTTGCTTCGGGCTCCCAAGAACTCTGAGAGATGTCATTCGGTATGCCCTGTCGTTTCATGTCATGGTTGTCATATTTGTCAAGGGACGTAAATACACGCGTTTATGTCTCTTGTCAATGCGAACTCGAATGTTAGTCGGTGGCATCGTCGGTACCGCCGACGGTCGCATCAAAGTCCATGTTCTTGAGCACTTCACGCAGCAGCATCGTTGCAAACGACCCGGGGGGAAGCTGGAATGAGACGGTCACCGTGGCGTCCTCTACACTTGCGCCATCAACACACTCGACACGGCACTCGATCGATATATGTACCCGTGTCTTGAGTCCAATGCAGGTCCTTTGGCACGCAAAAGACGCGCCGGTACGCCCCCTTGAGCTGCTTCGCTTGGTCCTCCGAAATCCCGTGCTCGTCAAGCACCTAAGCGCACGCGCGTATGCGCCATTGCATCGTTTACACCGCGCGGTACCTGCTTGTAGTAGTCGCCCACGGCGTGCGTTGGCACCGTTGTGTGGCTGCCAAAGAGCGGCAGCACCACATTGTTCAGATCGCAGCAGGTAGCATCGTCGGCCGATGCAACGACGCGCACATTCTTGGTCGCCGGATCGAGCACGAGGTCGCCAGCGACGACATTGGCGCCGTACGTTGCGACGCGGTGGGACGCGACGAGGTTAAAGAGGAGGCTCTGGAACGCATGCAAGTACATGACGCGGCGGTGATGCGGCAAATTGAGCACCGCCTTCTCGTACGCGTCCGACCCATGGCGCTTGAGACCCTGTTTTTGGATCGTACAAGTGACTTGAGCAAAGGCAATCGATATGTACCATGAGGACAGCGCGCTCGGTGACGGCCGAAGGTGGCAGCGCACGCAGCGCTGCATTCACATCACGCGACGCTGTAAATGTCGTCTTGGCGGCCGCGAGACCCTAAACACTCTATGTGTCCTAGCTCCAATGTGGACGTTGCTGTTTGCACCGGTGTGTCGTGCTCGGATGCCGTCAACAAAAGCGAAAAGGCGTGAGCGTAGTCTTGCTGGAACAGCGCTTGGCCGACGTGGTGGGTGCGCACACTTTGGAGCGGCGAGCCCACGCGCTGAAGCCCAAAGTAGTTGATAAAGCCAGTCGAAGCGACGCTCGCAAAGGCCGCGGCGACAACCTCCGGGGACTCTTCGACGTTGCGCAGTCGAATGGTAAACCTAACCCTCAACCATCAGCGTCCCATTTCCGAGACCGTGCATCGTACTGGTTGCCGCCAGATTGCCCGAGTGTCTACTCGTGCAGTCGCGCATGAGATATCGCGAAATGCAAGAGACGGAGCGCACCAGGGGGGCGGCAACGTACGCAAGGTGCCCGACGGCGAGCCCCATTGGCGCCAGCGCTGCGTGGGCATCGAGGAGCACACTTGGTGCGACGCTCTGCGCGACAAGGCGCTGGGTCGTGACGGCGCGCTTGTCCTTGGTGCCTGCGTACGTGAAGCTGGACGTCGGTGTCTTGGCCGCGCGGGCGAGCGCCTCGAGTGCGCTAAAGTGGTCGACGTTGACCTGCCGTGTAGAAAGAAGGATCCATGAGACGACCGACAACGTGTACATAACATGTGCGACACGTACCTTTTGCAGTACGAATTGCACATAAAACTGCTGCTTGCGCTTGCGCCGCTGCAGCATTTTCGGCGAAAAGTACACGTCGATGCCCTGCGCCGCGTTGGTCTTGGTCACGAGACAGGCGGTCGCAGACGCAAAAAGCCGATGGACCTTGGTTCGCGCCTCCTTCGTCAGCTCTTGCTGCAGCCGAACACCTACGCCGCGTAGACACGTTAGCGAGGTCGAAGGCGTGTGGCGCACCAGCTTCGGCAGACGGCGCCAGCGGGCCGTGGACGAGGAACGTCACGATTCGCTTGCAGTCGTCGACCGCCAAGCCACCTTTTTCGAGCTTGACATAGAGCGGGTCGAGCGAGAGCGCAATCGAGGCGGGTGTCGTGTCGCCGGCATCATTTGTCGACGCACGCACCGTGTCGCACTGCAGCGCGGGGTACACAAACTGCCCGAGCGGAAGTGTTGACGACAGTATGGATAATGCAAAGTGGCAGCTTACCTGGATGGCCTTGGAGAGGGCGACCTTGTCCTCTAGGTTATCCGGGCTCGGTAGCGCGTAGCTGCCGATGGTGCCGGCGGCCACCGCGGCCACGTTAGCGCATGCGCTGTCGCCAAGGCGCTGGAGGAGGAATGCTTCCCAGCCGCAGTCTGGCACCGTCACCTCGATCGCACGGCTCGTCTTCTTGGCCGTCTCGGGTATGGCGTTCATGGGCAAGGCGGGCGACTGCGCTGGGTCGAGGTCCACAACATGGCCTGCCTCGTCGACCTCGCGCACTTGAAAGTCGTCGGGCCTACCGCACTGCATTAGCTTGGCAACGGAATGAGAGAGCAGACTCGGTCTTAATGACGCCACGGAAACCAGCGACGTCCTTGGCGCAGAACTGCGAGAGACCGACGCAGGCCGCGTCGATTCGGTTGGCGCTGCTCATTCGGCCAATTGCTGCTTCAAGAGGGATATTCCTTCACAGTCGAGACCAGAAAATCATGAAAACGGAATGGCATGTAATTCGCCTAAAAAGTACACGCCACAATCGTCAGCATCGACGCCTCTGCTGGGGTGAATAAAATGCACCCCTGAATGGAACGTTCGAGCAAACGGGACCCATTTACTCACTCCCATGGACCTCGTACCGATACTCGGCTCACCATCCATGGCCATCACATGGCACGTGAAGCCTCGCTCGTTGTGCGAACCCCTACCGGCACCTCTTTGGTCCAACAAGCGTCACTCGGTCATGCCGCTTAATCACCTTGTCCTACACTATGTGGCCCGTTAGCTCGGTCCATTGCATGTGAAAAACACTCGACAACCATCAACCACACACAACCACCGCGATCAAAGCGACCGCGAGCGAAGTATCATCAGTGTACATTGCAGACCAAGCCCTGCACTGCAGACAGCCTTTTTGACGCATGTTTATTCCACATAGCGTACACGGGTGCGACAGCCGAACTCCCGGCTTTCGATTCGGAAAGTGAATCAAGTGGCGGGCGCATTTTCCAATTCGCCCGCCACAGTCTACATGGACCTGTCCTCACCCCGCATCGTTGTCCAGAGCCCGGCGCTATCGCTCGTGGGTCTCTTCGTGGACAACTTCTCGGCTGCCGAATCAGCGTGCAACGCGTCCGTGTCGAGCTCAACTACGTACCGCGTCCGCAGCAACGGTAGCACCCCGATTCCGTACTTTTGCGGCGTCGAGCTTCCCAGCAATCACACGCTGCCCGTCGAATGGCAGTCGCTGCAGCTTTTTCATCCAACATACGCTGTCTTCCAGTCTATCGAGACCGACGTCCAGTCTCCCAATGCGCTGCCACCTGTGTTCGACCACCACGACAACAATGGCCAACGGCGTCTTGGAGGCGAGAGCGACGCCACTTGGCGTGTGCTAGCAGGGTGGTCCAGCGGGGGCTGGGAGCGCTTCGTGGAGGCGCCCATGTTTGAAAGGTGGACGACGAGCCGAGCTCTCGAAGTGTGGGTCCCCGTGCAGCGACAGCGTGCATAAGTAATTCTAAATCAACACCAACGCCGTTGCAATGAAGGAGTTTTCTTGGGACGCCCAGCTGGCAGAGTCGGTTCATGGCTCGTGACAAACCGAACCGGTTCGAAACCATGTGACCCAAGCCGGCCCCGCAAATCCCCGTTGCACTGGCCAATCAAAAGCCAGATGCGATGCAGTAGCCACCAAATGATGGGGGTGCGTCATCGCCAAACTGCCATTGCGCGGAGCACCAAGGATCCCACGTCACCGAAAGTTCAACGACCACGTACGGTACTATTCGTGCGTCAGCCACCTCGATGACTACAAGCACGAAGCGCAGGACCATGGCGCGCTGGACTGCGAGCTTGATTGTTGAGGATTGCTACAAAGCACCTCCGCTACCGCAGGCAAGAAGGCCATTTTCCATTTCAGTCGCCGCCACCCTTGCAACATGCAGTTGCCAACACCTCGCATCGTCAACGGGCCCGCGCTCTCGCTCGTCGGCGTCCAAGCTCGCTTCGACGTGGACAAGACATCGGGCATTGAGACGCTCTGGCGCTCGCTGCCGACCGTCGACCAAGTCACCTACGGCGTAAGCTACGACTACGACGACGGCTCGTTCATGTATCTCTGCGCGACGGACGCGGCGGAGACCAAGGCGTCGGACAATACTGCAGCAAACTCAACGCTTTCGCTGCCATCCGCCATGTATGCTGTCTTTGCCCACGAAGGCAGCACCCGTGAGATCGGGCTCGTATGGCGCGCGCTTCGGGGCTGGCGCGACGGCAATTTGGCGCGCGTGCCTGGGGCGCCGGCGTTCGAAAAGTACAGCGCGACGTTCGACCCGACGTTGCGTGGTGGCGTCGAGATTTGGCTTCCCGTGCAGACAGCAGAAACCTGTGCATAAAAGTGCGTCCCGTGCTTTTGTCGATCTAACACGTGTCATGCGTGTTATAACGCTTCTTGTTCAGTGATGTAGCATCGTGTTGTCGATATACCGTGTATCTAACACGCGTTCTAACATCGGTTGGTCGGATTGGGTGCATTTGAAACCGGTTCGAGGATGCGTGAACCGAACACGATTATGCAATCCGCGTCACGCGCTGTAATTCTATTCCCCGTCGCATGCATATACTCGATATTTGTATCGAAAACGCACCCATACAATAAAAGTACACCGGGCGAGGCCAGTGACGTCAACGGCGCGGCCGCTTGCTCCAATGTTTTCAGCCAATCAGAAGGCCGTTCGATGGATCGCCACCTGGTTTGCGATTTGCGAGGGATTTTCGACCAACTCATTTGCCAACTTCGCGGCTTCCCCTCAGTTCCGACAGCAGCAGCATGCTCTCCCGCGTCGTCCTCCGCGCCCCGCGCGCCGCCCGCGCCGCCTCGTCGCTCTCGCTGAACGGCGTCTCGTCCGAAGTCCGCACGGTACGCGCCATGCAAAGCTGCGGCGGAAGAGACCTCATGGCACGTGTAGGACTGGAGCTACGACGAGGTCAAGGAGATCTACAACAAGCCGCTGCTCGAGCTCATCTACCAGGCCGCGACCGTCCACCGCATCCACTTTGACCCGCGCGAGGTGCAGCAATGCACGCTCCTCTCGATCAAGACGGGCGGTTGCACCGAGGACTGCAAGTACTGCTCGCAGTCGTCCAAGCACAAGACGTTTGTCAAGCCCGAGCCGCGCAAGAAGGTCGACGAGGTGCTCGAGATGGCCGCCCGTGCCAAGGCGGCCGGCAGCACGCGCTTCTGCATGGGCTCGGCGTGGCGTGAGGTCGGCAAGAAGAACGCGTTCAAGGACGTGCTCACCATGGTGCGCGAAGTCAACGGCATGGGCATGGAGGTGTGCTGCACGCTCGGCATGATCACGGAAGAGCAGGCCGTCCAGCTCAAGGAGGCCGGCCTCGCGGCCTACAACCACAACCTGGATACGAGCCGTGAGCACTACCCTAACGTCATCACGACGCGTACGTACGACGATCGCCTCAACACGATCGCCAACGTCCGCAAGGCCGGTATCTCGGTCTGCTGCGGTGGTATCCTCGGCATTGGCGAGAAGGACGACGACCGCGTCGGTCTCTTGCACACGCTCGCCACGATGGAAGAACACCCCGAGTCGGTGCCCGTCAACGCCCTCGGTATGTGTTCACACCTTTGTACGAGCATCGTTCTTATATCGGATTCCTACTAGTGTCGGTTCAAGGTACGCCGCTTGCGGACGCCAACTTAAAGGCGGTCACTGCCTTTGACATGGCGCGCGCGATCGCGACCGCCCGCATCCTCATGCCCAAGACCATGGTGCGCCTCAGCGCGGGTCGCATGTCGTTCTCGGACGCGGAGCAGGGTTTCCTCTTCATGGCCGGTGCCAACTCGATCTTCAACGGCGACACGCTCCTTACGACGTCCAACCCGGCGTTTGAGAAGGACAACCAGCTCTTCACCGACTTGGGTCTTGTCGGCAAGAAGTCGCACACGGCCAACAAGAAGACGCCGTACGTGGTCAAGGTCACGCACTCGGCGACCGAGCCCCAGGTCGCGTCCATGTAAATGGCTAGTGTAAGAAATAGAAATAGTGTGTCTTGTTGCAAGCATGCGTCTCCTCTCGCTAGCTCGCTCGCCTCGTACCTGGACATTGCACCAAGCAGATGCCCGCCCAGCCACTGTCCTCGCATGGTTCACATGTACGCCGACCAGGAGGCCAGGACGATGGAAAGCTACCAAATGCGGCTTTCTCAGGACAAATCTGGCACGCGATCTGCGACTACAGTACCCAGATCGTAGGGCACATGTGCGAAGACCAGATTCTGGTCTGCGCAGATCTTCACAGCGACCTAATGTAAAAACCTGCGGTCAAGTGCTCGCAGCCGTAGTGTAGCCCGCCACGTGACCACGGACAGACGGCCCGTACTCGACGGGTCAGAATCTGGAGACTACAACAAACCTTCGAGGCTGATCCTCCGGACGACATCATCTCGTTTCCCAGCTCGTGTCCATGAGATCGCTCCCAGAGGTGGGACTGTACTTGCATCGTCTGAGCGGAAGCGACTGGCACGCGGCCAGACGACATTATGCAAGACCATTGCATGCACGCATGCTCGTACATATACGCATCCTTGGGATCTTGTATCATTTCCGTTGTTGGCGCGGCTAGTGGCGCCAAATGGAGCGTGTTTTTAGCCACGACGATCCGGATAGCCATGGGATATCCGTCGTTTCCAATCAGTGAGCCAAAGCGAGATTAACCATGGGCAAGCGCAAGCCGTTCGGTCGCAAGGGTGGCAAGGGCCCCAACGTGTGGAAGAAGCCGCGCACGGAAGACGGCAGCAAGCCGGACGACCGCGAGGCTGGCTTTGGCGAGTGGGTCTACCGCAACGAGTCCTTCGAGGCCTACTACAAGGTACCTGCCATCATTGCCTATATCCTCCGTGGCCAACGGCATGGAACTAGGCGCAGAACATTGTCGTTGACGCCGAGTGGGACGCGTTCCTCAAGCACTTGGCGGCGCCGCTGCCGACGACGTTCCGCATCAACAACTCGTGTGCCTACGCCGACAAGTACGTATGGACCGAAGGATGCAGCATCTCTCACGCGGACGTAGGATCCAGGAGCGCATTGCGACCGACTTCAAGTTTGAAGACTTGGTCATTGACGGCGAGAAGGTCGACCCGATCGGCCAAATGCCGTGGTACCCGGATGGCAAGGGCTTCCAGTGGACCGTCGAGCGCCGCAAGATCAAGAAGCTGGAGATCCTCAGCGAGTTTCAAAAGTGGCTCGTCAACCTCTCGGACGCCGGCGACATTACGCGCCAGGAAGCTGTGAGCATGATCCCGCCGCTCGTCCTTGGTGTCGAGTCGCACCACAAGGTCGGTCCATGTCCATATTGCTTGTCATGCTCATCGGCAGCATCCTTGGTAGGTGCTCGACATGTGCGCGGCGCCGGGCTCCAAGACGTCGCAGCTCCTCGAGTCGCTCCATGCGGACGAGAGCAAGACGGGCAAGCTCCCGACGGGCCTTGTCGTGGCCAACGACATTGACATCAAGCGCGCCTACATGCTCGTGCACCAGGTACTTGACGCCCTATCCTCTGCATCAGGATCTTATTGACCATCTTCTTATTATGTGTAGACCAAGCGTGTGGGGTCGCCGGCGCTCGTCATCACGTGCCACGAAGCTCAAAAGTTCCCGCTCTTGAGCAGCGACGACAACAAGCAGGGCTTTTTCGACCGGATTCTCTGCGATGCGCCGTGCAGCGGCGACGGCACCATGCGCAAGAACCCGCTCATTTGGCAAAAGTGGAATGTCAAGAACGGTCTCTCGCTGCACCCGCTCCAGCTCTCGATCGTCAAGCACGGCGCGTCGTTGCTCAAGGTCGGCGGCCGCATGTGCTACTCGACGTGTACGTTCAACCCGATCGAGAACGAAGCCATCGTCGCCGAGCTCCTCCGCTGGTCCAACGGCGCCTTGAAGCTCGCCGACGTCTCGGAAGTCCTCCCGCGTCTCAAGCGTCGCGCTGGTATTTCGTCCTGGACGGTAGGATTTACGCCATTTTGACTCATTTTACTCATCCAATACTGTGCGCGGTCTAGGTCATGAACCACGAAATGGAAGTCGTCGGCTCGTACGACGAAGAGGCCGAAGCCAAGCGTGGCCAGTACAAGAAGCTGCTGCCGTCCATGTTCCCGCCGACGCAGGCCGAAGCCGACGCCTTCAACCTCGACCGCTGCATGCGTTGCCTGCCGCACGACGAGGTACTTGTCTCGTACGGCAGGCCAGGACTCACTTATGGCATAGAACACGGGTGGTTTCTTCATCTGCTTGCTCGAGAAGGTGGCGCCGACACCGGAAACGCCGGTCGCGCCGGTCGCCGAGCCCAAGGCACCGGCAACCGACAAAAAAGCAAGCCGTTGCCCAAGGGCGAGGAGTACTTGACGTTCAACGAGGTCGACGAGGTCAAGGCGTGCTTTCAGATGACGTCGGGCTTTGAGGCCTCGCAGCTCTTTACGCGCTCGGACACAGGCAAGTCGGTGACGTTTGTGACGTCGTCCGTCTCGAGAGAGCTGCTTCCGGCCATGAAGGCGCGCAACATGAAGGTCGTGTACGCTGGCATCAAGATGTTTGAGCGCCACGACCTTGGCACGGGCACGGGCATGTACCGCCTCACGCAGGCCGGCACTCACATTGCCAAGCCGTTTATGCAAGCGCGCAAGATTGACGTCAACAACCGTGACTTCCAGTACATGCTCGAGCGTCGCGGCGACTTGCTGCAATTTGACGTCTTTTCCGAGTCGCTCAGCGCGTTCTTCAAGAGCGCGCCGCTCGGCAGCTACGTCTGCACGCTGCAGCGCGACGACGGCAAGCCGCTCTCGACGACCGAGTACGAAACGATCTACTACATGACAAAGCCGCTCAAAATGCATGTGCTTGTAGAGACCAGCTGCTCAACCTTGTGGTGTGGCGCGGCCGCAACACGGTCAACGTCATGGCCGCCAAGCCCGACGGCCTCGCGCTCACGACGACGCTCAAGGCGCTTGGTCTCTACGACGACGCGCTCGCGGCAGAAGTCGCGGCGCTCAAGGCCCCCACCGAGGCCAAGGAACCGGCTGCGGTCGAGACGACCGAAGAGACGACGGCCGACGTCGACGTCGAGGCTTAAGCCATGTAGAAAAAGGAAGGATTCAAACCATATAACAACACTTCTTTGTATGACAAGAGAATGGTCAAGTCGTTAGCAGCAGTGTGTGGTAGGCGCCGGCGGCAATCGCCATGCACCCGGGGGCAGCCACGGTGGTGTGTGTGGTGTTGGCGTCGGCGGATTTTCCAGCCACGAGGTCGTGCGACGGCGTATGCATGCCCCAGAGATGCAATCTGCCGTCGTCCGTGAGCCCCACCGTGTGCCGGGTGCCACATGCGATGCCGATGAACGTGTCGTCGACTGCCAGCAACGTCGGGAAGACGTGGCTAGCGAGGTGCGATCGGCCCTAAAACCCCATCGTGAGCTCGTGCAGGCATTCATTGGCGGCGTACGAGCTGGCCATGCTGGCCCCACCCCACGTGTACATGTCGCCCGTCGTCGTCAGAGCTAGCATCGCATGTATGAGCCGTAATGACTAAGTACGAGCGAGCGTGTACCGACAGTGTGCCACGCGCCACAAGCGACCTGCCGCACGCCTGCAAAGACTCCGCGGACGTAGTCGCCCACGCCTTGGAGGCTCGTGACGCACGTCGGGCGCGGCTGGTCGGCGGTGCTTCCAAGTCCGAGTTGGTGGTATTGGCCCCACCCAAACGTGTAGAGATCGCCGTTGGTCGCGATCATGGCCGAGTGCTGGGCACCAGCGGCCACATACTTCCAGCGCTCAGCAAGCACTGTCGGTGAAGCGACGCGCGGCGATCGGACGCCGACGCCGCACTGTCCGTACTGGTTGTTGCCCCACGAGAAGACGACGCTGTCTGTGGTCCGCGCGAGCGCATGACCGTCGCCGGCCGCCACCTCCACGACGCCCGAGACCTCTGGTAGCTTCTTGGGCTCGGTGCTGCCATGACCCCATTCGTAGCAGGCGCCGTCGGACGAGGCGGCGACGACAAAGCTTCCGCCACAAGCGATGCGAACAATCGACAAGGTGGTCAGCCGCAGTGCGAGGCGATTGGGGCCGAGTTCGCCGTGGAAGGCCGTGCCGTAGCCGACGACGCCCGCGTCTCTGCAGGCGACGAGCGTGATCGAGTGGCCACCAGCAGCAGCGACGATCTCGTCCGCGTCGTCCGCGGTGAAGCTTGCCGTTTCTCGGAACGTACCGAAGCCGCCGACGCACGTCAGTCGCTTCGCCATGCCTTGGCCGTATTGAGTTTACGAGGTTTTTGAGATTCCATATCCATTGTCACGGGTTGATGGCAGCGACGGCGTGTGTAATCGTTCCGTGCGTGAGTGCGCTTGTCACTGTGATCGACAAGTTGTACAACCTGCACAGCCCAACGTTATAATTCGTTCAAGGAGCAAGCACTATTGATTCAACCAGGAGGCTCCAGGAGGGACGGTACCTGCGTACTGGTATGCGATTGACGGGCTGAAAACTTTGGCGCGCGGATCCACTTGGCCAAAAATCAACTGAAATCCCACCCGCCACAAACTCGAAGTGGCAGCTGAACTTTTACGCCAAGGACGAGACGAGACGACGTGGTGCGGGTCCACGTCCCCGCTACAATGCACCTCACACCTCCCAACCCAGCCTGAACACGCCTGTGTAGTAAGGTGTAAGGTGTGTATGGCACCGAGTTGCGGTTGATGGGGGCGGGGCGATTGCTGTAAGTTACGCTGTAGACCGCAGTCGTTACGCCGCGAATCTGCCACGATACCACCACAGTTGCCTCGATGATAGGGTCCATCTTCCCGGCCAGCCATCAGCGAGGCAAGGGCGCAAAGGACGAACTAGTAGCAAGCACAGGAACTCCTCTCGCGGGCCTGGCGTACGGCGTGAGTTACAAATCTCTTGTTTTATGCAGCGCTGTTTCTGTGCTTCAAGGCCACTCACATGTCCCACTTGCTCTAAGCTGGGACCACCCCGTCGCTGCTTCTTTTTAAAGATAGTGCATTTTCACTTGGCGTTTGACTGTCGTTTTATACAAAACGAAAAACAACGAATGGCCAATCACAAGGCGGGATTTCGGTAGCGGCAGTGACGAAAGGCGTGGGGTGTAGCGCTCATCAAATTCGAATTTGCCTCCTGCCCGGGTTCCCTCCCGCGCCACGACCCCACGACGCCAGCATGACGATGGTAACCGAGACGATCCCTGCGCCGGTCGTGCCTAGCAGCAAGCTCCTCCTCGCGTCGACCGAGGTCCGCGTTCCCCATGACGACGACGACGACGATGCAACCTCGACCGACAAGAACGAATCGGACGACGACGACACGACCAACCAAGCCTCGGACGCGCCAAGCAACCAGAGCGACAACGACGACCAAGTTGCTGCGAGCATCGTTGCCTACTATACGATCTACTACCCGGCCTGCGCCGAGCGCTCCATGTACCATGGAACGTACCAGAACGTGCCGCTGGCGACCCGCTTCCCGCCAGCATCGTACCTGCAAGTCGTGCTCACCGCGTCATCGGGCGCGCTCTGCGTGGCCACGGACGTTGCGATCACGTTCATCGACTGCGCGAATGGCGTGGCGGCGCCGCGCCTCTGCCTCCGCGGCGATTCCCATGACTTATGTGCGGTGTTGAAGGCCGTCGACTTTCGGGCACCGGACGCTGCGAGCGGCGTTGCGACGATTGAAATGCGTGTGGCGACGATCCTTCGCGCCGCGCCCTCGCCCATGGCTGCTGCTTTGTCCAAGCTCTGGGTACGAACGGGCGGTGCGCGGGTTGACGCGGACGACACGACGAGCATGTCGCCCCGTCGTCGCCAGAGCCTTGCGTACAACACGAGCGTGACGTACGTTCCCGCGGTCAAGCACACGGTGCGCGAGATTCCCAGCGGTCTCTGGGTGCCCAAGCGATCATCGGTGCCCACGCCGCCCGTCGCGTCGTCGTCGACTTTTGACGACGCGTCGATCCAGTCGATGCTCGACAACTGCGAAGCCGAGCTCTACGTCGCGCCGTCCTCGAGCCGCACGACATACTACACGCTACACTACCCGAGCCGCGCCGAGGCGTCCATGTGGTCGGGCGCGTGGTCGACCATCCCGTTCGCACCACTGTCGACGCACTCGTCGCAGCAACAAATCGTCCACGTGTCGACGTCCGAGGGTCACTTGCGTTACACGGCGTCCACGTCGAGTGCAATCTCGACGACGGGCAGCGAGACGCGCGTCCTCGCACTGCAAGGCCACGCGACGGACCTCAACGCCGCCCTACGTGACGTCCTCTTTGTTGCGCCTAGCACCGCCAGCGGTGTCGCCACCATCCAAATGGACGTCACATTGGCTACGCCGACGGCCTCGTGCACGCTGCACTATCCGCTCGCCGCGTCGAGTCCCATGTGGAACGGCCAGTGGACCAACCTGCCGATGTCTTTGCCCCGCGGCAAGGCAACAACTGTCTCGGCGACGTTGACGGTCTCGGAAGGCACTTTGACAACACAAGACGCCGCTCACGCGACAACGGTGACGCTGGAAGGCTCGTACGCAACCGTCGCCGATCAGTTGCGCCTCGTGGTCTTCCATGCTCCCGCCAACGGCACTGGCAGTGCGATCATTGACATGCATTACAAGGTGCTTCAACACGCCGAGATTGTGGACAATGAGCCCACCGTCGCTGAGGTCCCTGCTCCCATTGAGGTTGTCGTCACCCGCGCCGCGCCCAAGGTCGCGAGTCCCGCGACTGCCAAGCTCTGGGTGCACACGGGTGGTGCTGGCGTCGATGCTGCGCCGCTCGCTGGGCCTGTCACCGTACATACGGTTGCCGCGCCGTCGTTTGACGTGACCAAGACGTACACGCCGTCGTCCAAGAGTCCGGCGCATGCTGCTGGCACCTTTGGCAAGGGTCTCTGGGTGCCGGCCAAGTCGCCGACGGCAGCCAAGACGCCTGTCGTCGAAGCTGGCGCGTCCGTGTACTCGCTGCATTACCCGGCGCAGTCCAAATCGGAGTCCATGTGGCACGGTGTGTGGGTCGGTCTCCCGATCGCACTTCGCTACGCTGACGCTGCCGTTGTCAAGGTCTCCATGTCGGTGACCGACGGCACACTTCGCGTCGCGACGACGGACGCTGCGGTCGAGGTCGTGGTCGCTGAGCCGCACCGACTCGTGCTGGAAGGTTCGGTGGCGAGCGTGAAAAAGACGCTGCGTGCAGTGATGTACCAAGCACCGTCGACGTCGGCGGGTGTCGCGATGATCTCGTCCAAGACGACGCTGGTCCACGACGCTCCGGCGCCCGTGTCGGCTACTGCGTCGACGTTCACGCTGCACTACCCGCGCGAGATCTCGGCCATGTGGAACGGACGCTGGAGCCACTTGCCGGTCGCTGCGCCGCGTGCGGCCGCCGCCGACATGCAGGTGTCGATGTCGGTGTCGGAGGGTCTTCTTGCGTCGGCCGACGGTGCTGTGATGGCGTCGCTCGTGCTGCGTGGTTCGACCAAGGACGTGGCCGCGCAGCTGCGCCAGGTCGAGTTCATTGCGCCTGCGAGCGGGTCTGGTATCGCTGTCGTGAGCATGGACTACGAGATTATCAGCGCGGCCGAGCCGGTCGTCGAGAGAAGTCGACGACTGCTGTCATTGAACGTGCTGCGCCCAAGGTCGCGAACCCTGCGACGTCCAAGCTGTGGGTGCGTACGGGTGGCTCGGACTTTGACGCGGCACCGATCGTGGGTCCTGTGACGGTCCACGGCGTCGCGGCGCCGTCGTTTGACGTGACCAAGACGTACACGCCGTCGTCGTTGTCCAGCAAGAGTCCGTCGCATGCCGGCGGTGCGTTTGGCAAGGGTCTCTGGGTGCCGTCCAAGTCTCCGGTGGCGACGGCAGCTCCTACTGTCGTCGAGAAGGCGGCTCCTACTGTTGTCGAGAAGGTAGCCCCGGCGGTCGTTGAGACGGCTGCTCTGATCGAGACGTCGGCGCCAGTTGTGGATGCGAACGCTGCTGTCTACACGTTGTACTACCCGGCGCAGTCGACGGCGACGTCGATGTGGTCGGGCGCATGGTCGGGTCTCCGTGTACCCTTGCGGTTTGAAGCGGATGCTATCGTTCAAGTGACTCTCGCGACGGCGTCTGGAACACTCCGCGTGGACACGAACGACGACGCCTTGACGTTTGTCGACGGTGCCAGGAACCTCGCGACGTCCCGCATCGTGTTGCGCGGTCCCGTGACGGCGCTCCAGACGGCGCTGCGTAGCGTCGTGTACCAAGCGCCAACGGCCGAAGCCGGTGTCGCGACTATCGACGTCGATCATGTTTTGGTGGCCGACGCTGCGACGCCGACGTTCACCGTGACGCTGCACTACCCGCTTGTGACGTCGTCCATGTGGAACGGCCAGTGGACGAACTTGCCGTTGCAGCTCCCGCGCACCTCGTCGGCCGTCGTCGCGCTCTCGATCGCCGTCTCGGAAGGCGCCTTGTCGCTGGCGCAGAATGAGCAGACTGTGTCGTTGCAGTTGCAGGGACCGCCCACCGATGTTGCGCGCCAACTCCGCACCGTCGTATTCCATGCACCGGCCGCTGCCACCGGTACCACGGTCATCGAAATGAAGCTCTCGACCAAGACCGAGGCTGTCTCCGTCGATGCGCCAACGACGAATGCAGCCGCGGCACTTGAGCCCATCCAGATGAGCACTCCCGTCGAAGCCGTCACCCGCGCCGCGCCCAAGGTCGCGAGTCCCGCCACTGCCAAGCTCTGGGTGCACACGGGTGGAGCTGGCGTCGATGCCACGCCGCTCGCTGGGCCTGTCACCGTGCATACGGTCGCCGCGCCGTCGTTTGACGTGACCAAGACGTACACGCCGTCGTCCAAGAGTCCGGCGCATGCTACTCGCACTTTCGGCAAGGGTCTCTGGGTCCCGGCCAAGTCGCCGACGGCAGCCAAGACGCCAGTCGTCGAAGCTGGCGCGTCCGTGTACTCGCTGCACTACCCTGCACAGTCCGAATCGGAGTCCATGTGGCACGGTGCGTGGGTCGGTCTCCCGATCGCACTTCGCTACGCCGACGCTGCCGTTGTCAAGGTCGCCATGTCGGTGACCGACGGCACTCTTCGCGTCGTGACGACGGACGCTGCGGTCGAGGTCGTGGTCGCTGAGCCGCACCGACTCGTGCTGGAAGGTCCGGTGGCGAGCGTGAAGAAGACGCTGCGTGATGTAGTGTACCAAGCACCGTCGACGTCGGCGGGTGTCGCGATGATCTCGTCCAAGACGACGCTGGTCCACGACGCTCCGGCGCCCGTGTCGGCCACTGCGTCGACGTTCACGCTGCACTACCCGCGCGAGATCTCGGCCATGTGGAACGGACGTTGGAGCCACTTGCCGGTCGCTGCGCCGCGTGCGGCCGCCGCCGATATGCAGGTGTCGATGTCGGTGTCGGAGGGTCTTCTTGCGTCGGCCGACGGTGCTGTGATGGCGTCGCTCGTGCTGCGTGGTTCGACCAAGGACGTGGCCGCGCAGCTGCGCCAGGTCGAGTTCATTGCGCCTGCGAGCGGGTCTGGTGTTGCTGTCGTGAGCATGGACCACGAGGTTATCAACGCGGCCGAGCCGGTCGTCGAAGAGAAGCCAGTCGTCGAAGAGAAGTCGACGACTGCTGTCATTGAACGTGCTGCGCCCAAGGTCGCGAACCCTGCGACGTCCAAGCTGTGGGTGCGTACGGGTGGCTCTGACTTTGACGCAGCACCGATCGTGGGTCCTGTGACGGTCCACGGCATCGCGGCGCCGTCGTTTGATGTGACCAAGACGTACACGCCGTCGTCGTTGTCCAGCAAGAGTCCGTCGCATGCCGGCGGTTCGTTTGGCAAGGGTCTCTGGGTGCCATCCAAGTCTCCGGTGGCGACGGCAGGTCCTACTGTCGTCGAGAAGGCGGCTCCTACTGTTGTCGAGAAGGCAGCTCCGGCGGTCGTCGAGACGGCTGCTCTGATCGAGACGTCGGCGCCAGTTGTGGATGCGAATGCTGCTGTCTACACGTTGTACTACCCGGCGCAGTCGACGGCGACGTCGATGTGGTCGGGCGCATGGAGCCAACTGCCCATCGCTGAGAAGCGAGTCTGTGGCTCGACGCTCGTCTCGCTGACAGTGTCGACCTCGGTTGGCTCGTTGGTGCTTTCGGATGCCAGCGCTGTCGTCTCGTGGCGCGAAGGCACTTCCGCCGTGCCGTCCTCGCGTCTCGCGTGCAAGGGTTCGTACACGGACCTCCAGTCGCTCGCCCGTACACTTGTGTTTACGGCGCCGAGTGACGCCGCTGGTGTCGCGTTCGTTGCCGTGTCGTGGGTCATTCTCGAAGACGACGTGCTTGCTGTCGAGGACAACGTCGATGCTGAAGTCGTAGAAGCAGTGTCCCTGCCGAAGGCGTGCCCATCACTACTCAGTGCGGCCGCGCAACGCTATACGCTCTTCTACCCATCGACGACGGACTCTGTCTCCATGTGGCAAGGATGTTGGAAGGGTCTTCCAGTCTCGCTTCGCTACGCCGAAGACACGATTGTCGACGCCTCCTTTGCGACGGTCGACGGTACGCTGAGCCTGCACACGCTGCACCCGTACATCGAATTCATCGACGGCAGCAACGATGAGCACGTGACCCTTCTGACGCTGCGTGCGTCGGTCGCCGACCTTGCCAACGCCGTCCAAGACGTCGTCTTTCACGCGCCAGGTGCAGCCAGCGGCGTCGCTATCATCGAGATGGACGTGGTCGTCATCGATGACGCGTCGCTGTCCGTGGACGACGATTGGCACACGGCGCCGCCAGTCTCCATGTACGAGCCCAGTGTGCCGGCCGCGACGTACACGCTGTACTACCCGCCGACGCCCGACTCGTGCTTTGTCATGTGGGAAGGCGAGTGGACGCACGTGCCGATCACGCCGCTTCGGCTGCCCGAGCACTGCATCCTCGAGCTCGAGCTCTCGGTGACGAAAGGTCTGCTGTCGCTGGCCACTGGCAACGTCGATGTCGAGTTCCTCGACTGCGACGCCGAAGTGTCGACGCACCAGATCACGGTCAAGGGCTCAGTGCCGGACCTCAACGACGTGCTCAAGGACGTCGTGTACATTGCACCGAGTGACGCGGGTGGCGTCGTTACAATCGAAATGGATTACGTCATTGTCGGGCACGTCGAAGACGACGAGTTCAGTGACGACGATCAAGAGTTTGTCGACGTTGTGCTTCCAACGCCGTCGTCGATGTGGGCGACGCCCGATGCCTTTGAGGCCAAGCCGCTGCCGAGCCTCACGATCGCGTCCATGGAAGCCAAAGAGTCGCCCCGGTCGCCGCTCTGGGTCTCGTCGGGCGAATCGACGGTCGCGCTGGCGCCGATCGTGGGCACGCCCGTCTCACGCAACGCTGCCAACACGTACGACGATGTCCCGAACCCAAACGAACCGTCGGAGCACTCATCTTTTGATAGTGCTCACGGCAGCGGCGGTATGTGGGCGCCCAAGCGCACCCCGTCGGCGGTCTCGGACGACGTGCACCAAATGTCGCTCGACGAGTTCCTCGCCCGCGACACAAGCAAGGACGCGACCGAAGCCTCGTACGCGGCCTCCGACTCGACGTACCTTCCGGCGTCCGAGTGCGACTTTGTGCCGACGGTGCGTCCGATGGACCTCGAGATTGGCGGGTCGCCATCGTCAGTCGCGACGGCCGACATTCCCATGAGCCCGCGCCCCGAGACGAATCGGGCTTCCAAGGCCAACCGCGACTCGGTCACCAAGAAGACGTTCTGGCCCAAGTGGCTCGTCAACGCCTTCAAGCGCAAGAAGAGCCATTGAGCCACCGTCTTCCATAAAGGACCTGCTCTGGCTACGATCGCAGTAGTTTAGAAGCAGCCACATGTGACGTTCCTAGTCAAGCCTCGAAATGACATGTATGTGTTTGTATACAACGAGGGTGCTACGCTGTTCCGCTGTCGAAGCGTGCGTCGATGACCAACAGGGATATCGTGTCCAATCCGAATACTGGTACCATTGAATGCTCCTACGAGCCCACACCACATTCAGTCAGCTTTTATTGACTTCGCTAACGCTACAATTGTCCCAGAAACAGCCCTCGTGAAGTAGGACACACACTGACGTCGGCCTTCGACGATCACTAGCATGGACGACGATGTTGTCGACGATGAGTAATTGAACACGAGTCGATCTATTTGAAAAACATCCGAGGAAATCGAAATGTAGGACCGGGACGGGTTCCGTTGGCATGTCCTGTGGTGCGTTTGGCTACGGCGATCTCAGTGGCGACGGCCTCCGTTGTCATGATGTGGTTAGGTTTGCTACACCTAACCGCGGGTGTACATTCGAACTCTGCCGCTGAATGAATGCCATGGACAAATGCACACATCGTTCTATCTGATCTTGCTCGCTTTAAGATTCGTCGTAAAGGACCAGTAGGCCTGCCGGGAGAATTGGCCAACGATATCCCTCGACACTGCGTGCTTTCGATGGACATGTTAGGCTTGGACATTGCACAGAATTTGTAATACAAAATGGGTATATTTAGATAGTTGATAGATAGTGTGTCGGTGCTCCTACTGGCTCATGACACGGGCCACCATGTGCTGCGGCTCGCTCTCGAGCGGCCGCTTCGTGCACCAAAACATCTCCACGAGGCACGGAAGGTCCACGAATTTGCGCTCGCCGTCGTACGTGACCTTGGCGCGGGACTCGATGAGGCGCGCGATCGATAGCCGAATGTCGGTTTGCTTGCGGTGCGGCAGACTCTCGACCACACTGAGCGTCAAGAGGTAGTCGACGACCGCGTCGACCGTCGTCGTGTGCACGATCGGAATGCGGACCGACTCGAGCGGCGTAAAGAGGTGCGTCTTCTCGATAAAGCAGTCGTGGAGCCGACGGGCCTCGGACGTGGCCTTTTCGGGCTTGAGGATGTTGTACGACTTGAGAATCTTGTCGACTTCGTGCATAAAGGGCGTCTCGGACAAGTCGACGCTGTTCCAGACGACGCCCAGCCGGCCGTTGGGCACCAGAATCCGGTGAAACTAAAGCGTAGCACCACCGCATGAGCATGTGGAGCCGATGTGACAAAAGGCACGACGTACTTCGTCAAGCGTGTTGCGCTCAGCGGCGCACTGGATCGCTTGGCCCACCGTGATGTTGCCAACCGACTCGGACGGGAGGCGCGTGCTGCTCGAGCTGCCTTCGATCACGGGGATGCTCGGAAACGCGCTTTGGAACTCGGACCGCAGGGCGACCGACGATTCGACGGCGGCGAGCGTCGTGTGGGCTGGCAGCAGTCGCTGCAGCGCCCGCGTGAGCTTGCCCGAGCCCGCGCCCACGTCAACGACATCATAGAGCGGCTTCTTGCGCGGGTCGGCCTCGAGATGCAGTACCTTCTTGAGCGGCGCCATCGCGCTGCTTGGGTAGTCGGGCCGAGCTACAGGCATGCTTCAGCTGTCATGATTATAGACATGCAACGCATCTACCTTGGTCGTAGATGCTCGTGGCCGGCGAGCCCATCGAAGACGCTGGGCGGGCGAAGCGCGTCGAGGTAGCCTTGATGTATTGCTTGTACATGGCGGTGGACGGAGCTGGCGGCAGGTGGTGGCGAAATCGGCAGTGGCCAAATGTCGGAGCAGCTCGCGTTGCACCCAATTTAACGCTGGTGGTGCCAGCGTTTGACGTGCAACGCGATCCGCTGCGCACCTCGTTAATTTCCCGCCGCTTCAAGTTGCCTTTAAGGTGATTACGTATATGAGGCCTTTTGCAGATGGAATCTCGTTTATGGCCCAGCGAAAGGACGTCGCTCGTTGGTTGAACTTTTATGTGACGTCAGCCCGTCGACGACCGTGGCTTGCGAGCGCACCAATCACATGCGCCGATGAAAAAGGATGACCATACAAGTTCGAGCGCCTTCGAACTTCGAGGATCACGCGATCTTTCCTTTGGACACCCCCGCAGACCTCGAGGGCACACGCGAGCCCACAAGCACATGCGTTAGCTCCTTGCGACCTCTGCCTACATGCAGGCGCTACTGTGTGACACGCCTCAAGAGAGCAAGACGACGAGAAGAGAGCGCTTGCAGAGCTTCCTCGTCCCCAAAATTCCCATCTCTATTCAGTAGAATACCAGTACACCTCTCTACTTCCTTGACCTTCGAGAACGGCGACGAGCTCTTGGGAGACATCCTTGGAGATCTATGGTGACGGCAGGTGCCGCCACTGTCGCCAGACAATCTGGTGATGCGACGCTGGCCTGTCTGGAGCAGGCTGGGTCGGACGATCGTGCCCCGGGGTCCAAATCACGGTATCCGGATGCCGGATACGAGGCAGCAATAATGGCGAGATTTTGGTTGACGACCAAGGTGCCCAACCTCTTCATGGAGCTCCCTCTCGAAGTCGCCGTCATGCGGAAGCGGCTCAACCTGCTGCTGCTTATCAATGGCGTACGGTCACATTAGTCTTGGGCTCTGTGTCATGTTCCCATAGGCGATCGCGGTCTTGACGACCATCGCGACGCTCTTTGAGCTCGCGCGCACGGGCGGCATCACGTCGCTCTTGACGAGCGCCACGTACATCCTGTACACGTTCTCGGCCATCTTTATGCTCAACAACAACCCATCCGCCTTTACGGTAGCATCGCTTCCAAGCACCGCGCTCACCTTTGTTAGATTGGCATGCTCATCGGCTCGTCGGCGCTCGTGGTCATCCTCGCGTTTGAGCACATGCTCTACTGGGTAATGGTCGAGGTAGAGGGCATGGACGCCTCATGTCTCTGGGCGTAGACCATTTCGTCGTGCCGCCATGGCTACGCCGCCGACATCTTCCTCGCGCTCTTCCATTGCATCTTCTTCTTCCTCTCGGCGCTCTTTTCCGTGACGGTCTTCAAGCACCGCCACGTCCTCATCGACACGAGTGCAGGTACTCGCAGCGACTCTCCATGCATGGGTCCATCATTTACTGCGTCGACTAGTGTATTATGATACCATTCCCGAAGGCATGACGCCCCGCTCGCCCGGCGCGCTCGACTTCGACGAGGAGGACGCGCGCGGCCGGCTCTCTTCGAACGCGTCGTCGTACGACTCGCACGGCTCGTTGCCATCGCCGTCCGTGCCGACCGCCGACATTTAAATCCATTTAAAAAAGCGACCGCAGCTTTGTTCATGCCTCTTATCAATCGCGCTGCAAAAGCATCTCCATCGTACTATGGACCCACGGACCGCGAAACGACGCGTCACTCGTGTCCGACGTCGTCTCGAGCGCCAGCAGCTATGCATTCCATTGCTTTCGAAGCTATACTATACCAAACGATCGTACCTCTTGGTCCGTGTCCTGGGACGCCACGACGCGGTCCATGAACGTGATTGGGTCCTTTGCGAACTGCGTCATCCACGCATGCCGCGTCACGTGGCGGTTGATTTCCCGCACGATGCTGTTCATCTACATGATAGGCTTGTCGATGATGACGCGTCCGGTGCGGGCTGTACCTGGGTCTGAAGCCGGTCGGTCTCGGCGCTTGCGGCTTCGTCCAAGCGAGCACACCTCGCCAAGCACGTCTTGCGCACGCGGTCGAGGTCGTCACACAGTGGAATCTACAGCGATATTCTTGTGTGAAAAGCATTCCCAACGAGACAGCGCCGTACTTCCACATGAAAGCGCTGCTCATCGATGACCCGATTTTCTTGGAGCGTGCCGAGCCTAGGTATGTGTCAGGATGACAGGTCCAAATGGGAAACAACCGCAGACGTACGGCAGCTGGTACTCGGCCGTGTCGGCGTCAAGTGCTTTTGGAGCTGCGCTGCGAGCGACTGGAATGGCATTTCTTTGCACTCAAACACGCGCTCGAACGGGGCGTCGTTGACGATGACGCGGCAGTCGTCGATGTGCAAGAGGTCCTTCATCTTGATATAGTCCCACGCCGCCTTGAGCACGTCTTGGCGCGTCTGCGCCTCGGGCAAGGCGTGCGCCAGATACGGCGCCAGCGCAGCAAACAAGTCGGGCGAGACGTTGAAGCGCTCGGGGGAAAGCTGCCGCACGAGCTGGAGCCGCAGCGTGTGTTCGGCGACGCCCGCCTTGCCAGGGCGCGTCACTTCGAACCCGTCCGACTCGTCACCCGATCGGAACGACGACCACTGCATCGGCGATGAGGACGAGAATGCCATGGGGACCATAAGGCATCCTACCTCGGTCGTCGTGGCGGGCTGCGGGTACATGCGCTCGTCCAGCTCGACAATGGCTTTGCGGAAGAAATGCGAGAACGACTTGGAGCATGGCAGACCCCCTTCGATCGACGCCTGCACGCGAAAGGTCCATTGCCCCGCGTTCTTGTCGCTTGAAGCGTCGGCCACGACGGCGCTGGGGTCGTGCGAGTATGTCATCGTCACCACGAGTGTGGCCTTGGTCATCTACACACAAGAACATGGGAGGAAGCACTCGGAGCGTTGGCTACCTTTGGCGGTGCTTGCGCGAGGGCTTCGAGCCGCCGAAGGTTCCGGTGGATGGTGCCCGAGGCGTGGTCGTCCATGGCCTTGAGCTGCTTCAGCGTAGCATACTGCTCTGGATCAACCGACTCGACCTACGCTTCATGAGAATCTGCCATGGGTGCCATGGTCCATGCGCGCACCTCGCGAAGCAGTGCGACCGCCCTCCGCTTGCGGCTGCTGCTCTCCTCGGCCATCGCACTGGTGATGTTTCCGTAATCCGGATACACACCAATTTTATCCGGATTAGACACTTACGGTTTCACGAAAATGGCCGAGGCCGCGGATACGACGGGGCTCCTCGAGCAGACGACCGCGGATCCGCGGGAGCGTGGCGGACGAGCTTGGCCGACGCATGGGCTCTGCTGCGCGAGGTCGATGCATGGAGTTTGCTGTGGCAGGTCGATGCATGGCAGTTCTTGCGCGAGCATGCAGCTGGTGGCGAAGGGGCTACGGCTCCTCGAGCGGTCTCGGGTCCTGCACCTTGCCGCGCTGGGGCTGCGCCCCCGGCCGCAGCGCCTGCCCAAGCCTCGCGACGGGCTTCTTCTCCATACGTACATTCCGCAGATACGCATTCTGGGGACGGACGCGCTTCGGAACGACCCGATGGTGGTCCACCCGATCGTGCTCGTCCATCTCGTCGACGTCTCGACGGGTTGCTACCTCGTCAAGCTTGACCAACAGCGACCAGGTGTCCATGCGTTAGAGCCCGTGACGATGCTCCAGGGTGCGCTCAAGAAGCATACGTTGTGCGAGTACATTCTGCCGATCGCGACGCAGCCGTGCGCCATGTCGCCTACCGGCCAAGGTAGTAGTACTCGGCTGTTCATACAATGCCATTGACGTGGAGCTAGACAACCCAAAGTGGAACGAGCTGCTGCTCGTCAACGACGCCTACTCGCACTACCTTCGGCCCGAGACGCTCCTGCTCTTCGAGGTGGTCGACTTTACGCCACAGATGAGTTTGCTTCCGGTACCTATCTTTCCACACCTTTTGTTGGCTCAGAGGATGGAGATACGTAGGGCAATGATAGCTATTACAAGGTCGCGTGGGGCTTTTGCCGACCCCAGAGTCCGCTTGGCAGCTACAACATTCCTCTCGCGCCCGACGAGACGACGACCCATCGCATCCAGCTGTACGAGTACCAGCCAACGTCGTGGCTCATCGACGCGCAGACCAAGCACATGCGCCCGGACGCAACGGTGCCACCCCAACCATCCGTGTACTTTCAATATCTACGCTATCGGCGGCAGCCGTACCCATGCACGCTCCACGTGTCCTTTGGCATGCAGCAAGAGCCGTCATTGGTGCAAGGTACACGAAACTTGCGGTTCGATTACGTCGAGCGACGGCGTTGTAGTGGTGCACCGAGCCATGTACGCACATGAACAAGAAGTCGGCGAGCGCGAGGACGACGCCCCGCAGGAGCTCGACAAGCACAATGCCAAGGCCAAATCTCACGGGCCTCTATCCATTGCGAGCGTGCGCGACTCGTTCTCGATGAGCGCCGTTCGTTTTCTCTTGGATCAGCCAAGTTGAAGAAGACTATCGATTGTCGTGTAGGAGCACCTCATGGCCTTTCCCAGCGTGCACTGCAAGCGATACCCGAGCGAGCTCTGTCTTGTGCCAGAACGCATCTTGCACCGACTGCACAGCGGCGACGGTGGCTGCCAATCGGTCGCGTTCTCGCATGCCGGCGCCTACCTCGCCGCCGCCTGCTGCGACCGGCACGGCGAGTACCCGATTCGGCTCTATCACATCGACACTGGCGTCCAGGAAGCGGTGCTACTGGGTCACCAGGCGTTGGTCTATGCCGTCACGTGGTCACTGGACGACGAGCATCTCCTCAGCGCGTCCTCGGACGGTAGTGCCAAGTACTGGCAGGTGGCTCCGTACGTCGTATTGAAGCGTTTGGTGCGAGAGCACTGCATTGAACATGGTGTAGGCCAGCACTGCTGCACTCGTTTTACCACCCACTGCCCAACTTTGTCTACTGCGTCGAGTGGTGCTCCAACAACCTTGGCGCGACGGGAGCGCTCGACGGAATTGTTCGTCTCTGGGACCTCGGGTTTGAAGCGCGGTGGTAGTTTACGGCATTCAAACGGCTGTAGGCAAGGGCGACCGGTCGCCAATCTGCACCCAGCCCACACCGTCCGCGTCAACGCGTTGCGTTTCGAGCCCAAGTCCCAGCGTCTCTTCTCGGGGGACGCTGCGGGCATCATTTGTGTGTGGCAACCCAAGTCCGTTTTGGTATTCCATGTTTGTATCGTATCCTCAAGCGAGAGCGTAGAGGCACATCGTTTGAGCTCATCAAGACACTCAAGCACCATGATTTACTTGGCAAATGCATCACGAGCTTTCAGCTGCATCCCAAGCGCAGCCAGCTCCTCGTGCAAGCACAGCCGAATACGCTGCTGCAGTTTGAGTTGCGGTCGTACTTGGTCTTGAACAAAGGGTACAGCGGGTTGACGGTGCGAATATGTCTTCCTTGGCGTTTGCTCAGTGGTTGTAGGTTACATCGGCCATGGTCAAGAGCGCGTTTAGTCCCGACGGCCGCTTTGTCGCGAGCGGCTCGGAAGACGGCGCAGTGTACGACATGAAAAAGCCACTAGTATGTGCAGTCTGAGGCTATGTGCAGGTACCTCTACTCGAGCTTGAACGGACGGCGCATCCCGAGCTCGATGTGGGGTGGCATCTTTTATGGCGACCCTCTCTGCGACGTGACATGGTCGTCCAGCGCCCATATCGCCGCCCTGTGCTCTCTGGGTAATGCGATCGCTTCTTGTATTGACGGACGAAGTAATGATCGTGCTGGCAGGAAGTGGCAACCCCATCATTGTGCTTGGCGCACGCCGGGACGACCTTCCGGCCAAAGGCAGCGCCATGGTACGCACTTATATCTGCCATTGCTTCAGGAGGTCACGGCAAACACTAGGCGGACGAAGAGAAAGACGATATGCAGCACCTCCAGCGGCGCCAGAAACGCCTTGCCGAGCATGTAGAGTCATCACTGGATGGGATGCACTATTATATATGGATGGTGTAGGTGGCGACGCTGCTGGCGCAGGACGGGCGACAGCCAATCGCGCCCGCAAAGGCCTAGCTCACGTTTTACACGCTCGCTCGATATGTTCGTGATTGGATCCAGTGCATAGTGCTTCTGCATTATTTTGGCAGACGAAAGGGTTCCATCCCTAGCCCTTGCATATCAAACCAATTTCCAGCTCCAACAATTTGTAGCATCAAGTACGTGGCAACGATGGGCTACAGGGATGTTCGTGAGGCATTTACCCAATCCAAGATGATGTCACTACTGAACCAACTAAATACGCCGAAATGACCAGTTGAAACTTGGGTGCTCGAGGGGCATGCGCGAGAAATACGCTGCACGGGACATAGCTGCGTTTGGGCATTGAGCTCGTTAGGTTCCTAGGCTCGCCACTACAAGTGCAGGAAAAAATCGTTGGACGCCACGTACATCTGAGAGCACGAGATGCTCTGCCCGTCGCTCGCATCCTGGACTGGCGACGTTGCGATTTAGCAATGTCGGTTCATGTTGCATGAGATGATCGCCGACGCGCACGTCTGGCCCACGCTGCTGTGCAACGACCGCCGCCTACCCGAGGGTCCTCTTGGCCCAACGCATCGTACCGCGGCTTAGCGCGCGTGGTCCTCTTGCAGCGCGACACGCCCGAGCGACGGTCCAGCTCCAACAGCCATCGTACACAATCGCCCGGTGGTGCGTATCGACGGCACAAGAGAGCCGCATGCGGCGTGCAAGCTGCGATATACGCCGCCGTTGACGTCGTGTACCGTGTGCGGTGCTTCTCTGCTGCACGGCGACCGGGTGTCGGGTGCCGGGCTGGGACGAGGCGGAATGAAGAATGAGGCAAGAGGTCTCGTTTTGGAGCCTGTCTGGAAAACGCAGCGACCTGGCAGCTCGCGGGTGGGACCAGACCCTCGAAAATGTTCTCGTGGTCTTACTACGCGATGACGACCTTCCACAAGAGAGTGTTTTAGCTCCCATTCGAGCCCAGAGGTTGTCGCTAATCGCATCGAGACGATCTTCGAATCATCGGCCTCGCGTTACCTTCGAAAGTTGGTGTTTGTCTCGCGTAGTGCCCTGGTAGCAAATATCCCATCTAGCTCGCGGCAATGTAGGGTTTTGTCCAGGGCTAGGGGATACGAAATGCGCCAATCCGTGCTCGTACTAAAAAAAAGCCAATAAGCTCTCGTTGCGGCCTCGACACGCTCTTTGATTGGTCACTTAAGGCTTCGAACTTCGAGATGGAAGCCACAGCAGGATGAAATATGATGCACGGTTCGCGGAACCCCATACTAGACTGGAATGACAGCGTCGCAATTCTTTGATGTCGAAGTTCGAAGTCGACAACCACAGCTTCGCTCTTCCCTCACAGCTATCCGCAACCATATATCCGCAACACAACAGCTCCTCGCAGCATGCTTCCCTGGGAAATGCCACGACATCACGAATAAGGTCACGAAGATGACCCTAGCTCCGCTGCAACCTACTATTACGCGTCGCTGGCTCGACCTTCATGTCCTTATCAGTCGTGTTTTACTTGGACTGGGGAAGCAGAGCCGTTGCGGTATCAACGTCAAGTTGTCGCTTTGCACGCCATCAAACGTTTGTTAGCCCTAAGATTTACTTACTGTGATCAACCTTTACATATGATCAAGAAACAACGCATAGAAGGCAGTGTCGACGGGCAGCCACAACAAGTTTGTGCTGTAGTCTCCCAACAACGAGCAATGACTCAAGAGTACTGTACACGTAGTTCTTAGATAGTGCTGGTAGTAATAGCACTGTTGGTAGTTATAATCAAATCCTGACTTGGTTCCTATTCTATGACAAGTAGAGCACTCGCCCGTCGCGCGACAGTCGACGGCCGCCGTCACTCGTCGTTGTGTCAAATGCATCGTCGTCCAACGGGCCCGGCGAGAGCAAATGAACGGGCGTCGGGGGTTGCATCTCGTCGACGCCGGCGGCTTCGTCCGGCTTTGGGTACGCAGCTTTGAACCAGTCGAGCGCGAGGAGCGCGCCGAGACCGCACGGGAGGAGAAAGTTGATGAGGTGAAAAATGTAGCGCCAATGGCCCGACTTGGCCCTGGACCCACCCGGTGACCGCGTACGGTTGCGCTTCAAGTTGTTGGTCGCTTGCCGGAACGTCCAGTCGAGACGCTTGGTGAGGAACGGGACGCAAAAGAAAACAAAGAGCACAATCAGAAGCAGAATGAACCACTGCACGCGGCGCATGGCTCGCTGCCGGGCCAGCGGCCACCGGTTGATGGAGCGGCGGAGGAAGACATAGACGCAGATGAGCGAACCGCCGGCGAGGATGGCGGCGAGCGCATCGAAGACCACGGTCGCACTCACGATCCAGCAAAAGACGCTGTGGGTCGCGGTGGGCGAGAGGCTCGTAAAGAAAACCACAAAGACGTAGACCGCCGTGAGGCCGTACACGAGCTTGGAGTAGCCGACGACGATCCTGCGCATGTGGTGAAGCGATTGGCGCGCCAAGAGGTGGTGGTACGCAATGCTCGTGTAGAGCTCGAACGACGCGACGAGAACCCAGAGCTCGAGCGAGAGGAGGAACGTATCGGCGAGCACTTGGAGCGGAATGTTCTTGGTGTGCTGGCAGCTCCGGCGGTAGCGTCGCACGGTGCCGTTGGGAGAAGCATTGGAAGCAGCGTCGTTGTCGAACGACTTTTCTTCAAAGTACATGAAGACGATGCTGAAGAAGCTCCAGAGCATGAGCGAGAGAAACATGGAGGCGGTCACATAGATCGGTGGCGCCGAGAGCACGCCGCGGCGGTGCTTGAATCCGAGCGCGAGCAGCACGAGGAACGCGAGCCCGAGGAGGCTTCCGGATGCGACGTAATCGACCGTGTCGAAGAGGTCCATGTCCATTACTGGTCGAGCCCACGACCGTGTACTCGGACAAATGGGTGTCGTGGAGTCTTCCAGCGTGGTGGCGCCACCATGGGATTTACACCAAAGGTGGCTGTTTTTCCCATCTCATTTGTGATTTTGCTTTGTATTCTATAGAAACACACCTCTTATAAAAAAGAAAATCGCGATACAACGGGCGAAACCGGCGCCACTTGCCCGCAAGGGAGGGGGAAAGGACGTTTAACCCAGGTGGGACAAACAAGACTGCACATATGCGAGTAATACTAGACAGGACGCGGCGCGTTTGATACAAAACACAAGATAAAGCTGATGGCTCGAGGAGCCGGTCAGCACATCCTTGTGCCAAGTTGCGAGCGTTTTCCACGGGGCAATCCATCGAGCGAGCGCCTTGCTGTCGAGTGTTTGACGGTATTACTTGCAGGCTACACAGCAAGTACTATGGCCAGCGAAGCAGCCTAAAGAAATGGCTCCGAGCGGATTGCTAGCTGCCAAATCAGACCGACGCGCTGGCAACCGTTCTGGAGGTGCACGTTTCTTACCACGATCACAGCTCACGATCACCGAGTCACTGGATATACGTGTCCTTGACGGTCGGTAGCAGCCTCCGAAAGCGCCTAGCGTGCCCATTATTGACGCTTTCTGGCGCCAACCATGGCGGCGCCACCTTCACGGCCATCGTGCAATACTATTACATCGTACGTCAGCTAGCTGGTCAGCTAGCTGTAGCTGTTCCGAAGCGTTGTACTATTTTACTCTTCTTTCTGGCAGCGTTGTTGCGAACAAGAGAGAACGAGAGAACGTAGTCTTGACTCTCGAGTGTACTACGCACGCAGGACGTTGTTAGCGGACGAGGTGTGGCGCCAGCGCTGTCATGCCTGTCGCCAGCGACTATAATCACACTACTTACAACCCGCTCTCGTTCCGAAATACACTCTATTTCACGAAGTAACACTATTAACTTTATATGCGTATCCGGTCGTGGATCCAAAATCCGGATAGATGGAAGAAGCAGCGCGCATGGGCGGAGCCGACGAGGAAGAAGTCGCGGTCTTCACCTTTGGCCAGGTACGATGCATGCGTTGCCAGGCGCTAAGCCGAGGCCGCGCAGAACTCGTACGGCGAGCTCGGCCATGGCGACACGACGACGCGCTTTGTGCCCACGAAGCTCGAGTTTGCCGTCGGCAAGAACATTGTCGACGTCGCCTGCGGCAACGAGAACACCGTGCTACTCTGCAGTACGTTTCGCCGCTGTATATCTGCAGCTCTCATGCTGGTTAGGCAACGGCGACGTCTACGCCTGCGGCTACAACGACAGGTGCGCCGTTCGGATTCGCACCAATACCTTGCGTAGCATATTTCTACATGCCATAGCGGCCAGTGCGGCGTTGGCACTGCCCAGCGCATCACATCCTTCAAGGCGCTCATGGCACTGTGCGAAAAGCAAGTCGTCAAGCTTAGCGCTGGCAATGGCTGCGAACACGTCGTTGCCGTCACAGGTACAGACTTCCTTGTCCCATCGCAGTGCGTGCAGAGCGGTTAGAGTCCGGCGACGTCTATACGTTTGGCTACAATGCACGGGGCCAGCTCGGTCACGGCAACACGCAGCCCGTTGCTGTGCCGACGCTCGTCGATGGTCTCGTCGGCAAGAGCGTGCTTAAAGTGTCTTGCAGCTACTTTCACACGATCGCAGTGACCGACGACAACGGCATGTACGCGTTCGGCCGCAACGATTTCGGGCAGCTGGGCATTCCGGACGCGCTCGACAAGCAAGTACCGACGCCAATTCCGTTTTTTAGCCGCCAAAAAGTCCTCTCGGTCGCCTGCGGGCAGTACCACAGCGTCGTTGCGCTCGGTGCCTCCACCCCGTTCTCTCGTCACGTCTCTGATATCTTGATATCTCCACTAGCGGGTGGCGGTGTCTATGCTTTTGGCAAGAACGATTTCGGGCAGCTCGGGATCGAGGCGCCCGGTGTGAAAGCGTCGCCTGTCCGCATCAGTGCGCCCTTGGACACGGACGTTGTCGTGCACGTCGCGTGCGGCTACTACCACACGATGGCACTCACCCAAGCCGGCAAGCTTTACGCGTTCGGCCGCAACGACTTTGGCCAGCTCGGTCTCGGGCACAAGCAAAACATGTACCGTCCCACGGTACTCGTCCTTTAGTTTTCGCCGTTTTCTGGTGCCATGACGATATGGTATTAGCTTGTCGCGACGCTGAGCGAGTTTACAATCATCGACGTTGCGTGCGGCTGCTACCACACGCTGGCGCTGCGCGACAACGGCGTCGTGTACCCGTTCGGCCGCAACAACCACGGACAGCTCGGCACCGACAACAACGTGGATACGGCGCTTCCGACGTACATTGAAGCGCTTCGAGACGTCCGTGTCCGCAAGGTACCCTCCTCTTTTTAACGCGTCGACTTGGGTGCTACGAGCAAAATAGATTGCAGCCGGGTTTTACCACACGGTCTGTGTCACCGGTCCAATCCAGCGGGCTCTCGCGCCGGTAGTGCGCAACTCGCTCGGGCGGAACCTCCACGCGCTTTTGAACAATCCGAGTCGGAGTGACGTGACGTTTCTCGTGGACGACCTCCCGGCGTACGCGCACCGGTGCATTCTCATGGTGCGCTGCGAGCCACTGGATGCGATGCTCAATGGCAGCATGCGCGAGAGCACGGCGACCGAGATTGTGATTCCCCACACCCGCGTACGTCCACAAATGGTATGTTTTTCGATGGACAATATTGTCCATGGCTAGCATCCGGTGTTTGTCGCGATGCTCGAGTACATTTACACGGACACGGTCGTCGCGCTCGAGTACCCCGCGGCACTCGACATTGGTTGAGACGTCGATGTATCGGTGCCCTTGATAGATTGATACTGTGCGTAGAGTTTGTGCTGGAGCTCATGGCGCTCGCCGACCAATTCCTTCTCGACAACCTCAAGCTGTAGGGACGCGTACAGAGTCGTAGTTTGTATCTCAGTCTATGCGATAGCAAGTGCGAGTGGGCGATTCAAAAGAGCATCGACCCAAGCAACATTACCAAACTGCTCGAGGTATAGACGATCGCTTCGATTTCCATGTTACAAGGCGTGTGCTAGACGGCGTACTTTCAACAAGCGCAGTACCTCAAGAAATGCTGCATCGACTTTGTCTTGGCCAATTTTGGCCTCGTCATTGCCGACCCGGTAGACCCGTGCAGTCTGCCTTGTCAATCACTCCTCGTCTGCATAGCGCTTTGTCGAGCTGCCACCGGACGTCATGCAGGAGATCCTTATCGCTGCCTCCCGCCGCGGCGTCATCATCAAGCCCATGTGACCGAGTACGGAACCACGTGCATCATTTTTCGTCTACAATTATACCACTTGTCTTTTTCTCTACTTGAGCTCCGTGAGCATCGCAATCGGGTTCTCCAAGTACGCCTTCCACTTGGTCGAGAAGCGCGCCATGGTCGCGCCGTCAATGACGCGGTGGTCGCCCGACCACGAGACGTTCATGACCTTGGTCGGCACGACGCTGCCGTCGGCCGCGAAGCGCGGCAGCGTCTGGATCTTGCCGAGCGCGCCGATCGCGACCTGAGGCACCATGATGACGGGGCTCATGTACGTGCCGCCGATCGAGCCAATGTTGGAGAGGCTAAACGTGCCGCCCGTGAGGTCCGCGGGCCCGAGCTTGCCGTCGGCGCCGAGCTTCTGGAGGCGCGCGAGGTCTTCGGCAATGTCCAGCACCGACTTGGACTCGACGTTCTTGACGTTCGGGACGAGGAGACCCTTGGGCGTGTCCATCGCGACCGAAATGTTGTGCTGCGCGTGCATCGTGATGCTCGACTCGTCCTCCGAGACGGACGCGTTCAGCACCGGGTAGTACTTGAGTGCGAGCGACGCCGCCTTGATCATGAGCGGGAGGTACGTGACCTTGACGCCGCGCGCCGCCGCGATCGGCTTGAGCGTCGTGCGGAGTTCGTCGAGCGCATTCATTTCAATCTAATGATCTTGGTAAGCTGTTGGATGGTGAGACCTTGGTACCTCGTCGGCGTAGCCAAAGTGGGGCACCTTCAAGGCCGCGTTCATGGACTTGACCATCATCTTTTGAATGGCTACAGAGGAGGAGAGAGATGAGACTTTGAAGTCGATGGTCAAAGAGATCGTACGCGTCACGGGCACGGTCGTGCTCTCGGTCAAAAACTCAAACGCAGGTGTCGCCGACGCCGACACGGGGGCCGCCGACGAGGCCGACGGAGCCGCGATCGGCGCAGCGGTGGCCTTGTTCTCGGCCAAGTACTTGATGTAGTTGAGGACATCACCCTTCAAGATGCGGTCGCCCTCGGACGGCACGTCTTCCAAGTCGATGTTGTGCTCGCGCGCGAGACGGCGCACGGACGGCGTCGTGAGGAACTTGCCGCCGTTCGACGGGCGCGTGATCGGAATGCGCGCAACGGGCTCGGCAGCGGCCGGCGTCGGCGTCGGGGCCGACACGATTGGCGTCGGTGTCGGCGCAGCCTTCTTGATGGGCTCGACCTTTTTGGCCGGCGCCTTGGACTTGGGCGCGCCGGCAGCGTTCTGGGCCGCCGCGACTTCGTCCGAGACGTCAAGGTCGATGAGCGCGCTCCCGACCTTGGCCATCTGACCAGGCTCGTAGTGGAGCTTGGTGATCGTGCCATCGAAGCGGCTCGTGATCTCGACCGTCGCCTTGTCCGACTGCACTTCGACGAGGTTCTGGAACTGCGCGATCTTGTCGCCGGGCTTGACGAACCACTGGAGGACTTCGACCTCGGCGATACCCTCGCCGATGTCGGAGAGCTTGAACGAGATCTCGGGCAGGGCCGCCGGCCGGGAGCTGTGGAAGCCGGCGCGGGTCGACGCGAGGAGGCTGCGGCGCAAGGTCAACATCATCGGGACGTGGCAAAAGTGGAAATGCCCATAACTTCGGTTGCACTTCGAATCGCCGTGCCGACTTGGGATTTGTATACCGGCCAATCGAAATGTGACAGTAGGCACCTTGGGGTTTGTATACAAGCGAGGGGCTGCCACCTGGCGCCTTGCGCATGTGACAGATGACTCATGACCGCTCCTGCTGCGTCGCCTGGGTGCGGCACGGTACCTCCCAGGTGACGCGACGACCGGCAACTCCGTAGCCGTCCAGTAACCGCTCGGTTTCGTCCTCCTGCTCCCGACGTCATGCGAGGGCGAGGGCCGGGAAGAAGGAACTCGCCCTGGAAGCCGACGGGCTTATGCAGCCGGAGCCGTGCCATGTCACAGCCCTTGAAGTTCAAGGAGGCCTCCCACTGTGGCCGTACGTACGTCCTGGGTACCGACTTGCAGCGGCGGCGCGATCCACTCGTACAATACATTGTACATCGTACATTGTACATTGCATAGAGTGCGCAGTGAAAGCGTACGGGCAGGACGGGACGCGGGGAGGGGGGACACACCCAAACGGCACTTTCGGGCGGATGACATGTCGTACTTCGAAGTACGAACGCTGCAGATTTCACTTTCCATTTCGCCTGTCGTCTGTCGCACTCGACCACACATGCTGCTCTCGTCGCTCCGTAGCAAGCTCGCATCCTCGACGCTCCGCCGCCAGTATGCATCATCGGCGCCGCTCGTCACGGAGCGCATGAACATGTTTACGGCTTTGAACGACGCGATGCGCGTGGCCATGGAGACGGACCCGACTGCCGTCGTCTTTGGCGAAGACGTGGCCTTTGGCGGCGTCTTTCGCTGCACGGTGGACCTCAAGGAGAAGTTTGGCGAGGACCGCGTCTTCAATTCGCCGCTCTGCGAGCAAGGTATCGCGGGCTTTGCCATCGGCTACGCGAGCATTGGTCGCACGGCGATCGCCGAGATCCAATTCGCCGACTACATCTTTCCCGCGTTTGACCAGATTGTGAACGAAGCCGCCAAGTTCCGGTACCGCTCGGGCAACCAGTTTGACTGCGGCAAGCTCACGTTCCGTGCGCCGTACGGGGCTGTCGGCCACGGCGCGCACTACCACTCGCAGTCGCCCGAAGCATACTTTGCCCACACGCCGGGTCTCAAGGTCGTCATTCCGCGCAACCCGACGCAGGCCAAAGGCCTTCTCCTCGCGTCGATCCGCGACCCGAACCCGGTAGTCTCTCATTTCGTATCGGACTTGCAACCTGACGCGGATGGCAGGTTGTCTTCTTCGAGCCCAAGGCGCTCTACCGTGCGTCGGTGAGCGACGTGCCTGTCGGGGACTTTACCGTGCCCCTTGGCCAAGCCGACATCATGCGGTCGGGCACCGACATTACCATTGTCGGTTGGGGCGCGCAGATGCGTGTCCTCGAAGACGTGAGTTGCATCTCTTCATGCCCACGACCTCTCACCACTCGACTAGGCGTGTGACATGGCCGAAGAGGCTGGTGTGAGCTGCGAGCTCATCGATCTGCAGACGATCACGCCGTGGGACGTCGACACGATCGAGCAGTCGGTGCGCAAGACTGGTCGTCTCATCGTGCCCCGGTACATCCTTCTTCTTCCATTGATATATCCTCGGGACTCAACGTCGGTAGAAAACCGGTGGCTTTGCGTCCGAGATTGCGTCGACTATCCAAGAGCGCTGCTTCCTCAACCTGGAGGCGCCGATCCAGCGCGTTTGCGGCTACGACACGCCGTTCCCGCTGGCGTACGAAAAGGTATGTTGCTTTACATGGTGGCCTGTTTTGTGGCTGACGTCGACTGCTAGCTGTACCTGCCGGACGCGCTTAAGAACTTTGAAGCCATCAAGCACGCCGTCAACTACTAGTCCCGTTGTAAATCACACCGTCCCCTGTTTAGAGTCGTATGTCATGATTCGTCGAGCGTTTACTTGGTGGGTGCGTCCACCTCGTCGTGCATCGCGTCTTCGCAGTACTGGCAAAAGAGCTGGGTTTGGGCGAAGTCCGCGTAAAAGTGCCGGTGGTCGCTGGACGACGTGGCTTTTGCAAACTCTTCTTGGAGGACGTCGTACGACGACTTGTCTACGCCACATTATTGTCATCTTCCACGTCCGAGTTGGAGAAACAGGGTCGTGCGTACTGGCGCGGGGCAGGAGTGAAAGGGTACTGATGCTGCTGCACAGCGTCGAGAAGAGACATTCGGTCTTGGACACGACGAGCGAGAGGACGTCGTTTTCAGCGTCTGGATACAACGAGCGTGAGAACACACGCAGATGAATCGAGCCTACCCGAGAGATCGTGCCAGGGATGCGGCGGCCGCGCAGGCAGTGCGCGCATCTTGGCTTGGCAGTCCATAAGCACGGTCTCGAGCTCGCGGCTCGTGGGAAATGGCGTCGGTGCGAACGGGGACGCGACGTCGTCACTCTCGAGGTGCACAAAGCACACGTCGGGCCACTCGTCCCGCGCAAAGACGTTGTGAACACCGACGAGGTACGGCACGGGCGAGTGCAGAAAGTCCAGAAGACTCGACGGGAGCACCGGAATGTACGTCGACTAGACACCACCGAAACGTACGAGCGTGCAAGGGGAGTCGAGCACTACCTGCCACTGGAACGGCCGGAGAAGCACGAGAAAGGCGGCGCTTACGGCGGCGAGCTTGGCTGTCGAGTCACTAACGATCACGACTTGCTTCTCCAAGAGCAAGTGCCCGAGAATGAGCACAATGTTCTTGGCTGAGAGGAGCGTCAGCAGTACGGCAACGGTCCACTCGTCCGTGCGGTCGGTCGGAAACTAGTCGATCAAGTCGGCCTTTCTCATCATCGCACGGTGACAAGAACCTGGTACTTGATGTCGCAATGCCCGAGCCGAACGCTGGTCCAAGACCCGGCCTCGCCAACTTTCATGCTTCGGTACCGTCGCAAGAGCTAGTACACGTCGCATCAACGTCCGCTACAAGACGACTCCGAGCAGCTACTTCCAAGACGGTCGACGACCCGCGACCGCGCTCCAAACGCGCACTTGACGACGCCCGTCGGGGCGCTTTGGTCACGATGCGCTGGAAGCGGAGCTTGAGCGGACGCTTGGCCGCGTCGAGGAGCCGCAACGACTCGGTGAACGCAAGGTCGCCTAGCCACGTCCACTGCAGTCGACAGACAGTCGGCAAGCAATATACCAATGGGAAAGCCGTTGATCGCAACGAGAATGTCGCCGACGCGGACACCCGCTTTGTTCATGGACGCCTCGACCGAGTCGACGACGGCCTGGAGGCGCGGTCTCGCCGCCGCCGTGAGGGGCAAGGCGCGTTTCTTGGCCGACGCCGACCAGCTCCGACTGCGGTACAACACGCGCGGCGCCATGTCCTTTGTCGGTGGCGGCGCCATTGCACGTCGGTCGTCCGAGAGCGTCACGCTGCCATCGGGCGCCTTTGCGGCGGGCGTCGCGATCGCATCCAAGAGACGCACGTCCTTCTCCGAGAGACCTGCGGCCGACGTGCCCAGATCATCTTTGCGCTTGAGCGTAAACCCGAGGAGCGACTGATGCACCGTCACCTACACCACACAATGATGTCGTCTGGTCGTCGCATTGCAATGTACGTCGACAAACGTCGGCCGGTGCAGCGCCGACTGGGCCTCGCGCGCGACTTGCCGGCTGCGCATGTCAGCTTCGATGAGCGTTCGCAGAAACTAGGATAAGAGTGCAGGAGGTTGCAGGAATGGTCGATTATTCTACGTGGTAGTGGAGCTTGTAGAACGGATACTTGCTCGTGACGCAGTAGCTCCGCGGCGTGAGCACGACGGGTGATTCGTCAAAGAACGCGCCGTCCTTGTCCGTGAGCGGCGACGCCAAGATGCCTGCGAGCGAGTGGAACGACGCATCTCGCGGCAGCGACCGTGGTTTGCTCGACCCGACGACGACGTCCGCGTCCGAGTCGGACGCCACCGCGTCCAAGTGTCCACGCTCGAGCAAGAGCGGCGGGTCGTCGGCGTCCATGAGCACGGCGGCGCAGAGCCCGTAGAGCGCCTCGCCTTTCGAGCCCGTGAGCCGGAACGTATACGTTTGAGCATTGAACGGCTACACTCGTGTCCGCATCAAGTCGTCCAATGGCAAGGAAGCAACCTCGAGGAGCTGGCGAAAACAGCTCGCGGCGTCGCTTGTCCACTGCGAAATGAGCGATCCGCGGAGGCTCTCGGCGTCGGCGACCGAACACGAAAAGGCCGGTGCGCCGACGGGGAAGCAAAAGCTGCTGACGGCTTGGTCGTTCATGGGATAGACCGCCTAGTCGACCTACTGTCTTTGCTAAAACGAGAAGAGGATATGGTACCGCAGGCGGGTACTGGAAGAGAATCGCGGGCTTCCAAAAGCCCACGGATGCGTCCTCAAGCACGGGCTCGATGGCCGACGACGAGGCCGGAATTCCCGCGATGAAGAAATGCTCGAAAATCCGGTCGCGCTTGCCGTGGAAACATGTGATCGACTTGGCGAGCGTTTGGAGCCGCTTCGAGCTCGACCGGTACCCTGCATGGAACGTGCGTGCGTAGAGGAGGTTGAGCATCATGGCCTGGCCTTCCTCCTTCGCATCATGCTGAGGCGAGAATGGCGAGAAGGGGGCGTGGCCAATGTCCATCGTGCTGGAGCGCACCGAGCGCGTCGGCACGGTCGCCGGCGGCGCCGGGTGTTGGTCTAGCATCAGGTGCAGCGGTGGCGGCGACACACGCCGGCCTCGGCTCGACGACGCTTGCTCGTCGTCGGTCGAGTCTTCGTCGTCGCCATCCAAGTCAAAGGATGGCAGCGTCGGGCTCAGGATGGCCGACGTCTCGTTCGGGTCGCTGCCGCATCGACACATGAGCACGCCTATTCCGTCTCGTCGAGACTAGTACGAAGCACCTGAGGATGCTGGCGAAGCGTCGCACCAGTGCTTCGTTCTGCGACGACTTGTTCTGCTCCTGCTGCAGCACGACCACCAGCGTCTTGGTCATTTCCCGCCGGCGCTCACGCTCGGCGATGTACTTCTTCTTCCAGGCCGCCGCCTCCCGCAGCGCCTGCGCCTTGGCCCGCTACCCATATGCGCCGATCCATCGCGACCTCATGATCGGTCAGGAAGGGTATACCTCGGCCTCCTCGCACCGTGTCTGCCACATGCGCGCGGTCGCCATGAACCCTAATTTGTCGCCGTCTCCGAGATCCCAACGTGGCTGCGACGACGCTGCGTGGGAAGCGCTCGGTTCCGTTTGAAATAATAAAGAGCGATATCGAATAAAAAGGCTCTGTATTTGGGCAAAGGACGGCATCGTCGAGCCGAAGGTCAGTGGCTCCAAGATACGCCTGTGCAAAAAGCCTTGGATCTTTCCTGTCCGATCGCTGTCTTGTGCAGCCACGCCAGGGGTACCGGTACACTATTATGTACCCCTGAGGCACGCAGCCACGTGGCAACTTGATAACCCAACTGCAAAGTCAACCAGCTGCGTTCGCTACCAAAAACCATGCCTCAATACGGACGGCAGCCCTCACCAGAGCGTCAATCTAGTACGCATCGAATGGACTTGTCTACATCTAATGTTAGTCCTCCACGACGACGGGTCAACTTGCACAGATTTGGTGACTAGAACCAACTGGGACGAGACAGCTCGCTCCACAAAGCTTGCCCGAAAACGCGGGTCGTTTTAAAGGCGTGCGATGGGCCCACCGCCTACACCGCGAGGTCGCCACTGCCTCTATCGACACCTTCTCGAGGTATTCGCGTGGTCGGGACTTGCCTACATCTAGTTTAAATTCGCCACGACGACGGGTCGACTTGCATAGATTTGACGACTACCGGTCGAACCAACTGGGACGAGACAGTTGGCTCCACAAAGCTTGCCCGGAAACGCGGGTCGTTTTAAAGGCGTGCGATGGGCCCACCGCCTACACCGCGAGGTCGCCACTGCCTCTATCGACACCTTCTCGGGGTATTAGCATGGTCGCGTGCGCGTGCGGGGCAGTGCACGCGGTGGCATCGCGACTGCACCACCGCTCTCGGTAGCCAATCAGCTGTCGCCACCCGCTTGGCCGTTCTTTAAAATGGTGGTCGTTTGACTTGCGGTTTGTATGCCAACGGCGGTCTTCAGTAGACTTGCGGTTAGTATGGCCGATCGCGGCGAAAAAGAACTTGGGGTTTGTATCGGGCCAAAAATCGTCGGCTCCACCGCCATAAACCCACGACCGCACCGGACGTCGGTTGCCGCTCGTCCACCGTGCGAATCCGCGTGCGATGCCCGTCATGAACTTTGGCGCCCAAGACATTGAGAACCACATGAGCGGCCTCGGCCGCCTGGCCGCGCTCTGCGAGATGGGGTACCGACGTCGTCGTCCAGGATGCGAGGCCGCTCACGCCGCAGCTGCCTAGGTCCGACTCGAGCGGCGACGAGAGCGAAGGCGTGCGCCGGCCGCCGACAGCCGACCGCACGCAAGAGCTCACCGACTACGTGCTCACGACGATGCGCCAGCTCGCGCGCATTAGCGCCGGCCTCTCGGCGCTCGTGCCGGGCTCCCAGCAGCAGACCGCGGCCGCCGGTCTCATGCACAGCGCGTCGCCCGCCCGAGTCGACCGGTCGGCTCTGGAACACGCTGCATAAATTAAACGCGACGGCCGACACGATCGTCGACGCGGTCCAAGCCGGCGACATTACGCTGCAGGCGCTCGACCTGACGCTGCTACCGCCGGACCCGTCCATGGCGCTCGAGACGATCAACGTCAAGCTCCTCTCGGCGCAGAAAAAAATCTACCAGCGCACGGCGAGCGACCACCTGTTGCGAACCACGCACAGCGTCCTGGACGACGCGTGGCAGAAGGGCGAAGAGGTCGCGCTCGAGTCGGCGCGCCGGTCGCTCAGCGCGTGGCGCACGTCAGCCGCCGACCTCAAAACCAAAGTCGCCGCGGCGCTCGCCAGCCCCGAGACCAGTCCCGCCGAGGTCCTCCAGAATGTCCAGGACTTTCTCAGCTCGCTTACCGTGTGCAAGATCGCCTCGGACGCGCCAACCGAGGCCGACGTTCAATTCAAGGCGACGACGCTCGAAGAGCACGTGGGCCGACTGCAGGCCAGCATCGTCGCGTCCATGTCATCGTCGACTGCTGGTATCCACTTGCTTGTCTGGACTGCGCGATTTTACGAAGCTGCCTTGCCGTAGGGCCGCGCGCCAAGCACAACGAGGGCCGGAAGCGCCCGCTGTCCAAGCATATGGTCGAGCCCATCGCCGTCGAGAAGCGGCGGCGCCCGTCGACGTCGCCCTATGCGCTGCCCAACCGCAAGCCGTCCGCCGAGACGCCGTCGCATCTCCAGGGTGTACGCACGTACGTGCCCTCGAAACCGTAGTCGACTTGATGCCACCGTGTATTGTCCTCTTATGCTGGTGTCATTAGAACCGAGGGCGACGCAGACGTCGAGCGCATCAAGGAGCCCAACGAAGAGGCCAGCGGCGTGGATGCAGCGCCAGTTGCGACGCCGATCGGATGCGAGATTTGCCACGAAAACAACGCCCACGAGCAAATGCTCTTGTGCGACAACAACTGCGGCCACGGTACCTACCTTGTCTTCCCCTGGACCCTCTCAAGCAGACGCGACTTAGAGTACCATCTCTTTTGCCTCAACCCGCCGCTCGACGACATTCCCGAGGGCGACTGGTTCTGCCCCAGCTGCGAGCAAAACTTGTGCTTGGCCCAGAAATGCAAGCGCGTCTGCGTGCTCTCGCGCAAGTACTGCAGCCGCCACCTCTGCAAGGACGGCTCGTGCGGCTTCCGCGCCAAGAAGGCGGGCTATTGCGGCAAGCACGCCAAGCTGCTCCTGCGCTACGAGTCGGACGACGACCTCGACTCGGACATGGGCCGATAGATACTCTGTGTGTGTATATATACTGCTATGAAGGAGCAGTTGAGGCAACGACGTGGCTGATGATGGTGTTGAGGATCCCGTGTTGCAATCGAATAAAATAGGGTGCCATCAAAGTCACTTGGTGGCCGCGAGCGCCATGGTGCGCTTCTGGGACGTGTCGTGGCGACGACAGTACCCGCGACCCCGGAGGCGAAAGTCGCACCCGTGGAAGCGACAGCTGTGAACGATGCAGTACCGGCGCGAACTCTTGCGCTTGCAGTGGAGTGCGGCGCAGACCTCGATCGTGGGCGACCCCGAGCACGACGGGCACGGCCATGGCTTCTTGGGCGACTGCTCGAGACCGACGCAGAAGCGGTGGACCACTGAATGAACGATGCGTGATGGTTCGGAAGCCGAATGGGTCAGATCAAGTAATACCTTTGCCACAGTGGGCATTGCAACACGAGAGGAGCGGCGCGTCGTGCTGCTCGAGACCGCACAGATAGCAGCGCGACGGGTCGAACGGGTCGCTGAACTCGTCGTCGGCATCCTCATTCTTGACGTCGTCGTCGCTAGGCTCATCCTCGGGCTCGATCTTGCGCTTTTTCGATAATGTGGCCAACGTCACAGGCCGCACAACCTTGGCCGGGGTGCGCTTAAGGGGACTCGCAATCTGCGCCGACGCGAGGCGCAATGTCGTAAAGTGGTCGGGTTGCTGCGCGACAGTGTTGTGGCGCAGTGATCGCGATGCCCCCTCATCCTGCGGCGGTGTTACCGGCGGGAAGCTACAGATCTGGATGGACGCCGCAAAGTCGAGGCAGCGCTGCAGAATGCAATCGTCGGTGAAGATGAATCCATTCGTCTCGACGAGCTCCTCGAGCTTGTCCTTGAGCTCGCCAGCCACGACCTTCCAATGACGCACACGGTTTGCCAGCGCCTCCTGTGCCAAAGCTGGGGCCGCGTTTTGGGCATGCTCGACATTGCGACCGTCGCCAGCGCGGGTCGCCGGCGTCGCAGGTCGCTCGTCATCTGTGCTCGGGCTAGCCTCGAGGCGTCGCCCGGCGCGGCGCAGGCCCTTCTTCCCCAAGCTGCGCGCCTTGAGCGGCCGCGCGCCGAGTCGTACTCGACGTCGACGACCGCGTCCGGGCTGCTCGTGTAGCTTTCGTCGTAGGCGCGGCCGATGGCCATGATGCTCTCGAGGACGTCGTACTCGGCGCCCGGCGACCCGACGTGGCGCAGCCGCTTCGTCAGCGGGGCTTCCTGGCTCGAGACCTCTGCGAGCTGCTCCAGCGCCGACGTCGTTGTCATCGGTCGGTCGCAAATTCCACACTGAAGATCGCGCGGTGAAATTAAACTTGTGTTCAGTATACTTCCTGTATCCGGACGCGGGCGACGGATACCGCGAAAACGGTTTCGCCCTTTCGTACACTATTTTATGGTGCCAGGCGGCGAACCTTGGGAGTCGCGTTGCGAGCGTCGCTTTTCGGATGTGCGACAAGGTGATACCGTCGAGAGCCCCTAGCGTCGGTCTATTGTCTTTCTGGTGTCCTTTTCTGACTCGACTAGTCGAGAAGCTCCGCAAAGTTGTGTGGCACCTGCGACCGAAATGTTGGCTTTTGAGTTTCACACTATTTCATGATGGCGAATTTCCAGGCGCCGGATTCTGCGAAACGTCCCTGCCAGCATGAAGCAGCAAGGGCAGCGAGGTGATGACAACCAAGTCGACGAGATGGTCGAGGCCAGCAGTCGAAGCCGGGTTGAGGCCAGCGACCACCTGGAGGCCAGCGCACATGGCCGCCACGAGGTCGAGATCGAGCTCGCGGCCATGTCTTCGACGTTCGGCCCAGCGTACACCCAGCTCCGAACGCCCCGTACAAGCACGGACGCGTCGCTGCTTCCCGAAGACGACGAAGCGTCGCGATCGACTAGCAGCAAGGTATGCAATGGACCTCGAGCTTCCTAATGCTCATGTGGACTCTGTAGATGGGCGCGACGCGGCCTCGTACGCACCTCCTGCTTAATTGGATTCGTCATGCTGGCATGCATAGAAGCTATACATCAGCTGCGCATCGACTGCTCTACGATGCAGCACGATGCCACTCCGGCGCCCGATGCTGTCGTGGCCACGGACCGCGTGTACCGCGAGCGCTCACAGCGGGGCATGACGCTTGTGTACGCGCCGACGATCCGCGAGCAGCTGCAAGCGCACATGACGAGGTAGCGGCACTTCTTCCTCTAGCATTTTACGATGAATGTTGCGCGTAGCCGTGTCGGTGTCTACCTCGAGCTCATCAACACGTCGTTCAGCGTCCTCTGCTGCCTCTTCTACCTCTTCCAGGTAAGAAATGATCTCGAGAATCATCGTCAACTCACATGCTCCAAGCTCTACGCGCCGACAATGTACGATGCTCTGCAGATCCAAGTCGTCGAAATCACGCTCACGTGCTACTTTGCGCTGCATTACGTACCTCTTCTTCTGCCAGAGCGATGGGACTCAAGATTGGCGTAGCTCTTGCATCTGTACACGACCGAGGACGTGTGGCAATTCGTTTTGTCGATGAATGGTGTCATCGACGTTATTACAATCGTACCGGCCTTTATCATGGTACGACGCTACTCTGTCCGACTCGAAATTGATACATTTTTCAGTTTTTGAGCACGACCCACAACTCGAAAGCGCTCACAATCTTCCGCGTCTTTCGCGTCTTTCGCGCGCTGCGCGTGCTTCGGCTCTACCGTCTCATTCGCAGCCGCAAGCACGGCTACAACTACGAGGTCGATTCGTCGATATGTCTTCGCTCGCATCTCATTGGGCATGTAGTGGGGCGTCTTTACGTTCTCGATCTGCGCCATCATCTTTGTCGCCGCGGGCATTTTCCAGGCGCTTGAAGACTACCCGGAGCGCAGCCGCAGCATCCAATTCCACGACGCCCTCTACTTTATTCTCGTGACCTTGGCCACGATCGGTGCGTACACCGGTGTACAACCCATCGCCAAGAAAAGCGTAGGGTACGGCGACATTGTCGCGACCACCACCTTGAGCGAGATCTTCGTGATGGTACTCATCGTGGCGGTCGTGACCGTGGTCCCGAGCCAGCTCACGCGCCTGAATGCGCTTCATAAGCCGCGCTACGCCCACGACGACGCGTACCGAGGCCGTCCGAAGAAAAGCCACGTGGTTGTCGCGGGGCACATTGCCCACGAAGCCTTTGCGGACTTTCTCACCGAGTTTTACCACCCGAGTCGCGGCATTGTGGACTTTGAGGTCGTCGTGCTCGGTCGGGACGCACCCTCGGACGTCATGACGCGCCTCCTTGGCAACGTCGCGTACGCAGCCAAAACGACGTACCTCAAAGGCTCGTTGATGCTCGAGAAGGACCGGTCTCGTGTCCGCCTCGATCACGCCGAGGCAGTGTTCGTGCTCGCAAATCGGCAGTCGGCTGATCACGCCGCCGAAGACGCCTCGACGCTGCTGCAGGCGCTTAGCGTGCGGAATTACGCCGATAGCACGGGCCGGCGCGTGCGCACGTACCTGCAAATGATTGCCGACGCGCACCACGACCTCTCGCACATCATTGGTGCGACGCAGACGCTGCATACGAACCGCATGAAGGACGACATTGTGGCACGTGGCACCGTGTGCCCCGGGGCCTGCGCGCTCATTCTCAACCTCATCCAGTCGATCGACCAGAAAAAGTCCAAAAACATGTTCTCGGGCCCGCGCCGTGGATCCAAGAGGTACAACATGATTGATAGATTGATACAATACGATTGCATGGCTAGTACATTGGCGGCATGAGCCGGCAAATCTACGCGATCGTCTTTTCGGAAGCGTTTGACGGGCACCTCTTTCAAGACGTAGCGCGGCGCATCTACGACGGGTACGAAGCTCGCAAACTTGATGCCACAAAACACATATCGATCATGTAGTTTTGAGAGCATCTTGCTGGCCGTCTACCGCCGCGATAAGGACGAAGGCCACCCCCGCGTGTGCCTTGGTCCGTTCCACAAGCCGATCCGTGAAGGGTACGTTCGTGTCGTCGAGTGGGTTCGTCATCATGTACGACTGTGATGTACATTAGGGACATTGGCTTTATCGTCGCGTCCTCCTCTTATGTCGTGCACCAAATCCTCACCGACTACAGCATGCTGGTGGACAATGAAGCCGACGACGCCACGTCCCGATCGCGCTCGACGTCGTTCCGGCACCACCCGCTCATTTCAACTAGCAACCTACTCCACCGGCAGTCGCCGCTGCACCAGCGCCTTAGCCAGTCGATTCGGTCGCCGACCGAGCATGGGCGCTTTGGCTTCGATTCGGTCATGTCACTGGACGAAGCCATTCACCACGCGACGAGGAAGTCGACCAAGTCGCTCTCGGAGCATATTGTGCTCTGCGGGTCCCTTCGCCATATCGTGCCCGTCATCCACCGTCTTCGGCGCATGTACTACCAGCTTGACGGTCAGTACCCGTCGCTCGTGTTGCTTTGCGACACGGCGCCGACACCCAATGACTTTCCAGCCGACTATGTGCTGCCAAGCCACGTGCATTTTGTCATGGGGAGTTCGCTGCGGTGCGCCGACCTCGTTCGCGTCGGCGCGCCCAAGGCCAAAGCCGTCCTTCTCTACCCGTACGACTCGCAGCAGCATTTTCGAAACGAGAGCAATGCAGATGAGAGCAGCGACACTACCCTCCTCGACTATGGCGTCGTGACGTCGCTGCTGTGCTTGGAAACGGCAAGCGACCTCGCCCACGTCGCGCTCAACGCCGAGTCGGCGGCGGCCCAAGACGACTTGGTGTTTTACGCCTCGAATCGCGTGCCGCTCTCGGCGGTGCAGGACCACTTGGTTGGTCACTACCCGAATTTGAACCCGGCGCTCTTCCGTGGCACGTCGTCAATTCAAAGCATGAGCGCGCGCTTGCGGCAACACTCGGCGGCCGAGACGCCCGAGTCCCACGAAGTACCTTGCGTCGCCGTCCTCACGCGGGGCAGCAACATCAAGTTTTGCCGCCCACGAGACATCCACGTGTGCGCGGACGACCTCCCGTACCTGGCGCCGGCCTACGCTGCAGGGCGCGTCTTTGTCGATAGCCGCCTCGACTTGCTCTTGTGCCAAGCGTTCTACAACCCGTACATCACCGAGGTCATCCACGCGCTCGCAGGCTCCGAGACGGACGCGCCGATTTTGCGCTTGCTCGAGCTGCCGCCGGCGCTTGTCGGCCTCACCTTTGGCGACTTGGTGCTGCGCATGCTCTCCAGCGACGCGATCGTGCTCGGGCTCTATCGGTGTCCACACAAGCGCCTTGGCAACTTGCTGCCGTACGTGTACACGTCGCCGCCCCACGAGACCCGCCTCCACTCGAAAGACAAGATGTTCATTTTGGCGCGCGAGGCCATCTAACCCTCTTTCATTTTCAAAGATATTGGCTATTTTCACTGGATTTGAAAGGATCTCTTGGTTATAGACAACTACTTCTTCTTGGTCTTGGAGGGCGCGGCGGCCTTGGGCGGCGGCGCGGCCTTGGCGGCAGGTTTTGCGGCCGGCTTCTTGGCCCGCCCCCGAGCGCTACGCACACGGTCATTCATTGGTCTTTATCGTG